CCCCGGAGCTTCGTCGCTTGATGCCATTGTTTTTTAGTGCTACTAATTCAATTATTTATCCGAGTTTCAGTTTTCAGATCACCGCTAATACTTTACTCTACTGGAATTAATATAACAGAGCGGTTCTCCGTTATTTGCGGTGGCCTCTTCTGCAGTTTCCACGTGGCCATGATTCATCGCTGACGTGGCTGAACTCGCTTAAAAGTTTAAATCACGTCACATAATAATATTAATATTATATATAAATATAAATTTAAGAATATACTATTTAATTTTATTTTTTTAATTATTTTCGAAATTATCACAACTTACATAAATAAAAATTGAAGACAACAATTTAACCGTACGTCGAGTGAAATACATTGGGTAAATCTTTACCTTTCATATACACACAAACACACACACATCCACATTGGTGTGTGTAGATTCGACGGTAAAAAAAAATCAAACATTAATTCTCCAAATTCTGCAGCTCATGCATTTTACTCTCATCACTCGTACTTTTTTCCTGCCTCTCCTCCCTGTACTTATACCTCGTAGATACAAACAGATAGATACAGAAATTCAACAGACTCAACAAAGAAAGCAGCCAATAGAACAGATTCAAATGGTTCCTATTGAAATTATTCCCGCCAAGCCACCCGCCACTTCTAGTAACATCCTTCGTCGCAGCGTTCACAATCTTCACCAATATCGTGCTGCAGAAGTACCCCAACGACATCGAAGTCCAGAGGAAACAGCTCGACATCGACTTAATATCCTGCGGCACCTGCGAGTAGAAAAACTCCAACAGCCCGACGTACGTGAACATATCCGCTATCCCGAATATGAAGTACTGGAACGACAGCCAGAATACGCTGATCGGGATCGGTGGGTCCCGCAGTGGGACCGCGTCCAGCATGCCGTGGTCCCCGGCGACCCGTTTCCGCTTCACTTCGACCACGGCTGCGACCGCCATTGACAGGGATGAGAGGATCAGCCCGACTCCGATGCGCTGGAGGTGGGTTATGCCCGTTGGTATGCCCGTGAATTTACGGATGAACGGGACTATGATTTGGTCGTATAACGGGATGATGATGATTAGGAACATGATTGGGATTATGGGGAGGGACGCGGGCGGTATTTGGAAATTGTTTGCGATGGTTTTGTCCATTGTGACGCCTTGCTGGACGGAGAATGTTTGGAGCTGAGCTAAGCATAGTGTCATGATGATTGTGCAGCAGAAGATCGGGACCATGTTTAGTAGGATTTTCACGTTTTCGACTTGTGTAACTGTGCACAGTTTCCATTGACTAATTCGCCCCTGCGATTCCGGTGTTTGGATTATTGCTGCTTTATCCAAGAACCTGTAGTAGTGTAAAAATGGTTGTAGTATATGAAGCTGAAATGTTAACTGTTGTTTTCATTTTACTAAATACCGTTTTTTGACTTCGAACGTGATTTTGACCCTTTTCTAGTCCAATTTTGGCGAAATTCACAACACGGAAACTGTAGTCCTTTGAGTTAGCTTTCTAATCCAACATGAGTCAGCTAGATTAGATGTCGGGTGACAAAGTTATGTATGAATGAGTTACGGATGGCTCAAAATATTAAAATTTTGGGCAATGTTTATTGATTCATGCACATCTTTCTCTCCGGACATTCAATCTTGGTAATTCAAATTGGATTAGTAAGCTAACTAAAAAAACTACAAATTCCGTGTTTTGAGTTTTGCCAAATTAAGACTCAAAAGTCAAAATCATGTTTGAAGTCGAAAAAGTATTCTTAAAACCCAAAACGGAATATCACTTATTGAATGCAATAAGATATTAACCTGAAAATATTAGTGTGGGGTAGAAACTCTGATTGGATAATTGCAGCTTCTTTATCTTTGCTAATCTCGTACAGCTCATTAGTGTCCGCGGGAAGTCGAAGCTTTCGGTTACGAATGGCTACAACGAACACCTGGTTTGTATATATACATATATACAAAGTAAGAAATATGATCTAATTGAGTATTTTTTTTTTTTAAAATTATTTATATACGTTTGTTTACCTGTACGATTTCAGTGAGGGCGCTGCTGCCATTAACGACATGTATACGATACTGAGGTAATCCAACGGCGAATACGATTATACCGAACAACATAGCAATAGTGCTGATTGTGAAACCCCAATCCCATCCCTTATGATCTTGTATCCATACAAGAAAGGTCAAACTAATTGCAGCTCCTATGCATAAAGAGAGTAGAAGCCAATTGAAGTAGCTCGATTTTTGTCTAGCCTCCTTCGGGTCATTATCCTCGAACTGGTCTGCACCGTGAGACGGTAGTGCCGCCTTAACCCCGCCAGAGCCCAGCCCCACCAAGTAAAGAGCCACGAATAGAAGTGCAGCGTTTGCCCCACCGACTTTCACGCAGTGGGAAGTCGGATCGAAGATTCTGCAGAGTGGTGGCTTCAGTTTCGGGTAGTGGGCTTGCAGTGCCAGCAGTGCAAGTCCCTACAATAAAGAGGATCAAAGAATCTAATCACTTCATTTCAAGAAACGACACGTCAGCATTATTAATCGGTCGTCGTTATGCAAATTAATTACCAAGAACTCGACCGTTGTTGAGAGAAGAACGGCTTTGAATCTGCCAACGTAGGTGTCTGCTAAGAAGGCGATTAGGAGTGTGATTATGTAGCTAGTGCCCATGTAGTTCGTCAGCTGATTGGCTGCTTCCGATAAGTCGAAGTGCATCACCCCGACAAAGTAGGTCACGAGATTGACCGCAAGAGCCATTGTTGCCATGCTCTCGAATACAAATGCACCTTCGTGTGCACACGCAAATCAAATTAAACCAAAACCGAGTTAGTTAAGAAATTAAGGCACTCGACATATGAATTAGAATTTTGGGTTATGTTTTTTTCGTTACCTAAGACGAGTAAAGAAGTGCTGGTTCCTCCATGCTTGTCTTTTCTTGCGGTTTTGCCTTTCCAATCGACCTTCCCTTCGATAAGCTGCGCGGTTTCCTGCATATATACTAGAATGTCAGAATATGCAATACGGAGAACTAAATGAAGAGTGTCGAAATAGTATACCATTGATAAGTAGCTATCGTTTCAGACAATGGTTGCAGAGAATCAGACGAGTAGTGCGAGTGGCAAAAGCTAGAACTGAAGAAGGTATTTATAAAGAGATGGTGATTAGTGATTAGTGATTAGTGATTGTTAGTTAGGTATAAAGAAACAGTTGTGTCTTTTGTTTGAACATCCTTGTACAGCATGTAGGAATTTTGCCGTCTTGGTAAGGAAGATTCCGTTGACATAGTCAAACCTCGAGCTGTGCTCGTATAAGGCAAACACATAAACATCTGGATTTTGATGTTTTTTGGCCTTTTTAAAGCAACCACTTGCTTCACATCGACATCATTACGTCAGCATTCATATATATATTTATTACAACATCTTTATCAGCCGTGAGAGCTCTGGACAACAGAAAAGCTTCAAGATTTTCATTGTACGATAGAAACCGTTGAGGCACAGGACAAGAAGAAACCTGCACAGAAGAACCTGTCGTAAAACCCGATAATGTAGACTTATTCGTATCGTTGAGTAGTTCAAAATTATGAAATAATTTGAGTCGTTTTTTTCTGGACCCTGTCGATGCATCATTTTTCTTGGACGGTCTTGTTAACGTTTGTCGAACCACTGTGCATTTAGGACGTTAACTAAATAGACTACTACATTCGGCAACTATTAGATTGTCCGTTTTGAAACTGTCTTCTGAAAAAGACCATGCAATATGATAATAATAGATAAAACGATCAAATTCGACAGAATTTAAGGAACCAAAATCAATAAATGAACCTCTCTTTTTATTACATAGTACTTCAATTAAATAACAAAATATCGAGAAAAAAAACCCAAACGTTATTGAAAAATTATATCAACAAATGTACAGAAAAATCGACTTACAGATTCCGCCAGTGACAAAATGCAGAAATATGGCAACCTGTGAATGTGAGTTATTACAAGTAAAAGAAAAAAAAAAAAAAATATCCTACACAAAAATAATTCTCTCAGTAATTCAACAAAGAGTACTTCACACGTAAGACGATTCTTCCTTTATCAACTCCAAGCTTAGCTCCCGTAACCAACCAGTGACCTGGCATATCTTGAGGCCCTTTCGACATTTCCGTCATATCCACTATTTTCGCCAGTTTCTCACTCGAAGAAGAAGAAGACGAACCATCAATTTTTTGTGGAGCAGAAAGATTCGAGGGGCTATGATCCCATACAGACCGCCTTATGGTGCACCCCGGTACTTTCGAGAACAGTAGTTTCAAATGCAACACACTTTTAGCACCAAAATCCCAAACACCCAACTGGGCCCCGGTCACAATGTGAACGCCGGAAAGATCTCCAATGCATGTATCGGTATATTCTATCGGTGCAGTGCTCACATGGGAGAAATTCTTCCACTTAATAGGTTCGAACCATCGGCTGTCCTGTTCTTCGGGACCTTGCCACCTAGGCGCGCCTATAGCCATGTGAGCGTCCCAATGCGGCTGAAGAATCTTGGGAAGAGAAACTAGGTGTTGTAAGTTGATCGACAGACGATTCTGTTTGATGCCTTCTAAGCTTAGTTTGAGTCCGGTCACTGGCTTTCGGCCAACGGTTATCTGGAATAATAATCATTAAATGTTGGGAGTTTTTACAAGTGAAAAGGAATAATACTATGGGTTAATTACAACCACCCCTGGGGTATTGTCAAATTACGAAACCCTCCCTTCTGTTTGGGTAATTACAACCACCCCTCAACTATAAATCTTCTTACACGGACACCCTTGCAGTTTCAAATTTAGTGGAATCTTCTAGATTATATGGAATATTCTCAATTTTGGACCCGATTTATTCCATTCAAGCTCCAAATTTTGAAGCTAGATGATCATAAGATGTGTTTTTGGCTTGTGTATATCAGATTATGGTGCATCATAAATTGTATTTTTGCACAAAAAGAGTACAAACTAGAGAACATTCCACAGAATCTAGATGATTATGTTGAATTTGACACCATAAGGGTGGAGATGTAAGAAGATTCATAGTTGAGGGGTAGATGTAATTATCCAAACATGAGGGTTTTTTTTGTAATTTGACCATACCTCAGGGGTGGTTGTAATTTACCCTAATACGAGTAATCAACAAAATAATGCATCACTGCAATAATATGTATACCTGATCTGGGCTTATGTAAAGCTTAGGACCCATTAAACTGAACTGAAGAGACGAACAGACAGGTTCTTTTCTTTGCATGGTGTTTTGCTCTGGAGCCCAAGCTCGAGGAATTTGGAAATCTAGGAAATACTGTAGATCCTCGATCGGCGGCTTGTCTGAACATAACATGTGATATAAGATGTAAGAAAACAGAATGCCAAGAATATCATGGAAGATTTAGGACAAACATGTTTTCAGTGCATAATGTTGTTTTGCCGACTGCATGTAAACTAATAATCATTGTTCTTACATGCAATTTATGGCAAACGAAACAATAATTCATGCAATTTATTTTTCTGGCAAACGAAACAATAAAAAAAGGAGAAGTTCTTACACTCCAAGTATAAGTCAATAGCACGAGTCAAGTGTTTAATCCCAGTCACTCCTTCGAGCAAAGAAACAAGGGGCATAAATGTCATTTCGATGACATCAGGCGCTCCTTCTACAGTCGTTGACCACTTGGCATAGCTCTGTTCAAGGTCGTCTCCCCCTCTCCTTCTGAAAATTACAGTAACATCCTGCAAGCAAACCAACTCTGTTACTCACTCGAACACTAAATCTTGTAATAGAAAAACTATTTTTTTACGGTACAAACTAACCTTGTCCTTGTATTTTAAGGTGCCAGCACTTGTATTAGCTTTTGAATCCGAGAATCTCTGGTCTCCAATGTCTTTTACGTAGTTCTCGATATCTGACGTGGACAAAGGCGATGATTGGTGCTGTCTAATGTAGACTACATCCTTTCCACCAATTGTTGCAGAGGTAACAATATGGGTTCCGTAGTTTTCGATAAAGCTGATACAACCATTCAATTATATCAAACAATATGCAAGATTAAGAGATTAGGTGAAATCAGTTGGCTTTCGAATTTAATGATTCACCTTGCTAGAGCTGCGGGATCCCAAGAATATGGAACTGCTCGTTTTATTTCATCTCGCAAAATTAAATTGGATTTGACTAATTTGGCACTAAATAACGGGACAATGTATCCAACCACGGCAAGAGATTTTGTCGCTGCTGCATCGAGTTGCCATGAGCCACTGAAATTGAACATAGCATTAAAGCTTCCGAGTGGTATCTGACCAGGTAAATTTGACTTCTCATTGAAGTATTTCGCCATCTGTAAATTCACGCACCACAATGCATCATTGACTCTTAAAAATAAACCATATGATAAACAAAAAAAAAAATCAACTAAGGCCTTGTTTGGGAATTACGATTAAGTTTGACATACAATATAATCAAACTTGGTCGAATATTTGCATACGAAGAATATTTCGTCTATGATTACACAATCCTAATTTCGCTTTTCGGATCTATTAAGGTACACTTATTATGTACTACATAAGAGAGGAACATCATATTAAATTGACCACTATTTATACATAATATGAAACTAACATATCAAATGAAGCAAAAGACTTAAGTCCAACTACAACAAAATGATGACACGGTCCTAAAACTCGTATTCATAATCTTATCGCAGATTCCTATAATGGATTTAAGAAAGTCTCCTAATTCATCAGCATCAATGAGTACGGAAATCAAGAAAGAAACCCTAATTCAAGGACTTCTAGAAAATCATGTCAGTTCATTGAATTGCCATAACCCAGAAAGATACTATATCCAGCCATTAAGATTTTTTTATTACCATAACGAGAGAGAGAGAGAGAGAGAGAGAGAGAGAGACTAACCTCGTGGAAGCCCAAAACAGGGGTCTTCTCATCAGAACTGTATTCTTCAGAACAATCGATGTCAACAGAAACATTTGGGATGACATAAGATTCGGAGATTTCAAGGTTTCTGGTTTGGTGTTCATCAATATGAACCAGACGAGAACCGGGTACACCCTTACAGTACAAAAGCCTGATGTCAGAGGTGACGTCAAAGCCACGACCCAGTGCTTGGATTGAGTTGCAGAGAGTGGTGATTAGTGCATTTTCGCTGCCACTATGGTTGTTCGCCATGGAATTGTAATGAAAGATTCAAGAATGGTTCATCGGCCCTGAAAATATGAAATACACTCTGAAAAAAGATTGGATTTTTTTTGGGGGGTTTCAGTTCTTGATTCTTGATTAGTTTCTTGAGAGAAGGGGAAGGAAGGAGGGCGGTGTTGGTGGGTCAAAGGTTGGACTTTGGATTTGACAAATAACAATGTTGTTTGTTGGTTGTTTTGTTCAAATAAAAATCAAGTTTGACTGTAAATATTATGTAATTAATAATACCAAGAAAACGCGTTGTCCTTTTGTTTGGATAATCTTTTATTTGACCAGTCCTTTTCTTCCTTCTCTCCCTTGTCCCCCTACTTTTAATCTTTCAACATTCTTGTGCTAATCACAATTATATTTTTCTCCCAAAAATAAAAATAATTAATAAATAATAATAATAATATTTAGGAAATTTAATACAGGATCAATTTTAGAGAACCCCACATCTTACTAACTAAAATAATTAGTTAATTAGCCTCGTCTAATCCAAAGTAATCCGATACAAGCAATCGTTAATATGATACGTAAAATTCTTGAAATGAGTTTAAGACCCGTGTGTTCTAAACATTAATCGATTGAGAGGGAAGTGTCAATTTCCCTCGTCGAAGATGTGGCAACACCTGTCTGAGTTTCATCTAAATCGGGATACAATTCATCGTACTTTTCTCTAAGTGCTTGAAGCTTCATTTCATTGTCAGAAATGGCTGGATACATATTAAACTCCTGTATAGTGATACGACCACGAAGCATGCTAACAACCTCGGACATTGTAGGCCTTAGTGCTGGAGATGGACTTGCGCACAGAAGAGCGATTCTTATCATTTTCTCCGCCTCGTATCTGTTGAAGTTCGAACCCAGCCTGGGGTCCACTATTTCCATCAAACTCCCCTTCTTCTGAAGAACAAGAGCCTGATAAAAAAATATAAAAAAATATAAAAGAACGAAAAATTAAGATTTGAGAATGTGATATACATTTTGGATGTTGATTCTCTAGATTTGTTCTTCTTACCCAGTCAAGAAGACAAACGAAATTCTCACTGGGCCGGTATTTCATGATGTTTTTACCAGCAACGATTTCTAATGCCACGACACCAAAGCTGTACACGTCAGCTTTATAGGTCAAGTAACCCCACAGTGCGTATTCTGGAGCCATATAACCACTGAAGAAACAAAAAATGATTCTTCACTATCATATTAACTAAAATAAAAAACGGAAGTGCCATAATAATGGGAGAAAGAAAAACTGACATAGTCCCAGCAACTCTAGTACTGATGTGGGTGTTCTCTTCTTCGTCAAGTTTGGCTAACCCAAAATCGGATATCTTCGGATTAAGATCTTCGTCGAGAAGAATATTATTTGTCTTGATGTCTCTGTGGACGATTTTCAATGTTGACTCTTCATGCAGAAAGGTCAATCCTTTTGCTATGCCTGTACAAATCTTTTGCCTTGTTGGCCAGTCCATTTCCAGCTGCGATTCCTCTGGTCCTGTACTTGACAACGGCATCAAACTTTATATACCGGATAAAAATAATCAGACAATGATAAAATCCAAGTGAGTAACGTTATTTACCGAATAGGGCTCGGGCAAGATTGTTATTCTCCATGTACTCGTAAACGAGCAGTAACTGGTTTCCTTCTATACAGCATCCGTACAGTTTGACGAGATTTGGATGATGTAATCCAGAGATCATGCCGATCTCATTTACAAACTCACGATTGCCTTGTTTTGATTTGGAAGAAAGCTTCTTCACGGCAATAATTTTACCGTCCAATAATGTTCCCTGCAATTAAGAATAAAGGGCCTCATTGATATTTAAGATCATGCCAAGGCTATAGCCCAAGAGATATCGAAGTTCGTACAGATACGTACTTTGTATACAGACCCAAAACCACCTTCCCCAATTTTGTTTGCAGCATCAAAGTTGTTTGTGGCAGCTCTGATTTGTCTATAAGTGAAAAAACCGGTTTGCAAATCTAGTCCTCTCAACTCTGCAAAAATGAACTGATTTGAGATGCAAGTTTTACTTTTAATTGAACTCCTAAAAAAACTCCAAGTGTCGTATCCGCATCACCTTGTTCTCTTGAGATCCTGCCTCCTATATATCGATACCACCAATAATAACTGATAACTGCAAGAATGAGAAACGAGGCCGACACAGATGCTCCTATTTTGATGGCAGTCTTCTTGTTTCCTTTGCTTGGAGGCTTAAAATCTACATAGAAAAATGAAATGCAAGAATCAGTTCAAAAGAAAATAAGTTTAAAAGATGATAACAGCAATTAATAGACAGTAATACCAGATTCGACAGAAATAGCAGATATTAAAGGGCCATAAGTTCCTCGGACTGGGACAGCTGTTGTCCCCTTTCCAGCATATTGAAAACGTATCTCGAGGGTTTTATTTATCACAATTGCTTTAAAGTTTTGTACCACAGATTTGTCAACTCCTTTTGCCTCTTGCTCGATATCAAAATCCTTCAGTCTCCGTTCTCCCTGCATGAAACATAGAGTGAAAACAAATAATAACAAAAGAATCAACCGAAAAAACTGCACTGAATTTTGTAAAAATACCTGAATATACACATCAAACATCCTTCTTCCAAGACTTTGGAATGACTGATTATTTCTGAAAATTGTCTCCGCAAAGTGAAGTGTCACAGTGTAGTTTCCATTTGCTAAGCAACGGCCGTAATATGTGAGTGATATAGGGGAGAGCCGAGCAGTTGTATACAATTCAGAGTCGTTCATTCTAAGAACAGATACGTTTTTAGCCAGATAGTCATTCATAGTTGTGTTACGGCCCCAAAAGTCCCCTGTACTACTAGTTCCCCAGTTTGTTTTTCCTGGGACAAACTTTTCCGAACCTGCCGATGCTTCATCCGCATCAAATTCTATGTTGCCAATTTTAGTCACTTTTCCACCACAATTAATATGAAATGAATAGGAATCTGCCAAAAAAATCCAAAATCTGATAAGTGTCATCATATATAACGTTGGATTGATATTCAATTGAGAAACCTATAAACTGATGTCTCACCATCTGAACAAGGCAAGCTCTTCAGGCATTTCCCAAGTTCTCTGCATTAGTTCGTAGAAGAAAGCAAAAAAAACATGAAAGAATAAATAGATTCACAAAATGAAGCCAGAATGATTATCATCTAAAAGCTATATGACTTGCAGCTTTTAAGAACTTACTTGGTTTTTCCCCCATCATAGCTTCTGAACAAGTTTCTGGATACAAGAAAGGTTTAAAACAATGAAAAGAATAAAAACCAAGATTAGGTCACAAATCGTAAAAAAGGCAAGGCGTGCGTAAAAATAAGGCTCACAGAGTTTCCCGACAAGTTGACGGAACAGAGCTCTCACTAAAGTTGTTGTAAGAAAGATCAATTTGGCTGCACACAAGTAAATTCTGTCAGATTCTATCTCCAGCACTAGAAATTAATTGATTAAAATATTTTATATTTTGATTATTATCAGGAACAATTGAGTTGACATACTGTTTAGTATCTCTGACCTTGATCCAATCAGGAATTGGCCCAGTGAGAACGTTGCCAGACAGATACCTAACCATTCAAACGAAGTCGAACATACTCAAACAACTATGTGTTTAGCAAATTAAGTCAATACCTATGCTAGGTTCTGTAAAAATGAATCGAATATGAAAGTTCAACAGTTCCTGGAAATCAAACTAATGGACAAAATAGTGTGTAATTAGTAAATTACATACATGGTCTCCAGTTTTGCCAGAATTTCAAGATTTGGAATCAGGCCTTCCAACTTGTTGAAACTCAGATCCCTGTCAGTAAATAATAGGTTTATTTCATAATCGACTTCGAAATAATGTGAAAAAACAAATAAAATTGATATAGACTAGAACATAAAAGAAAATTAAAGAAAAAAAATGAACTGGGATTGAGAGTTACAAAGTCTGCAACTCTGACATATCTGCCAAGTATATAGGAATTTTCCCAAAAATATTGCAGCTCCTTAACATTCTGCAAAAATGGAACAGTTTTTCATTTAAATGTTTAGAAGAAAGGAAATACAAAACCCTCCAGATGGTTCTAGATGTAAACTTTTACTCACAATTTCTTCATTCCTCTCATGTCTCTCAGTTGTGGAAACTCTGAAGCTCCTCCATTTAAGTCACTGATCCTTCTACAGATATGACATTCACAGTAATTCATTATCACTAGCTATGTTGCAGAGCAAAAAATAATAATTCTAGATAAAATCCAGACATTGCAGGGGTAGTTTGGGCTGGTAAATAAGTAAATGACTCACACTTCAGTTAAATTCTTCAAGACCGAAATGCTAGAAGGTATTGGCCCTTCAAAACCACTGGCCTGTAACTCTCTGTCAGAAATGCTTATGAATTAGACTGAAAACAAAGAAATTCCGGATAATATGTCTGAATAGAACTTACAACTTTTGGAGGTTTGTCCAACTCTCGAAACTAGGTATTTTCCCAGTGAAGCGGTTGCTGCTAAGCCTACTGCAGTGCTCCCAGAGAATGATAAATCAATTTAACAGCACAACTAATAGAAAATAATAGCATTTTTTCCTCCTGTCAAAAACAGCACACATATACTTACAGTTCTGTCAGATTCTTGAGATTATTGAGTTCCATAGGCAATTCATCTGTGAGATTATTAGCACTGAGAATGCTGCATTAGCCAAAAAGAAGAAAGCTATTAGGTTTCTATGGATGTAAATGAAGACTCAACTTTCAGTAAGTTCATCAAATCAGATAAGTCGTCAAAAAGGTCTAACAGGTTGTTTAAGTTGGTCAGATTCCCTAGCTCGGCTGGAACAGCCCCACTAAAAAAGTTGCTCTCCAGGCTCCTGAAAATTGAGTATTATCAAATTAAATCGAAAGCTCGACATTGTCCTTGTGTGCACTATCATAAAAAGGGGAAGGGGAGAGATAGAGAGTTTACTTACATATATACAAGTGTAGTAAAATTCCCCAAGTATTTCGGTATGGGCCCAGATAAGCGGTTTACAATAACAGACCTGCAGAATCTTCCTTTCTTGATAAAACTACAAATTGAAATAGTACAATATTGTCCAAGATTAAGAATCAAGTGAAGCTCACATGTACTCCAGTTTCGTAGATGCCCACTCCCGAGGGATAGTACCATTGAGGTAGTTACGGGTGAGGTCACTGCAACCAATAGACATGACTTCATCAAGAATCGAGAAACGGTTATTCTACGTGGAAATAGCGTAAAAAATGATAATTTTCATACATTTTCTTAAGGTAAGGTAGCTTTCCTAGAGAACGTGGGAGGACACCAGCTAAATCCTGTCCTTTAAGGAATCTGTTAAGAGAACAGAGGTTTCTCTCTCGGTAAACATTCTCTAAAAACCATAGATGGAAGCTAGAGATTATCTCGTAGAATTTAACGGCCAAAACTGACTACAATTAATGAAGATTTTGATCAGCAAGAAAACTTACATGCTTTCTACATGACATACTTTATCAGGGTATTCACAATTACAAATGACAGAATTGTTGTACCATGGCATGTCTTTCCTAGGTGGAGTTGTCCAGTTTGAGTGGTTAGAACAAGGATTTAGGCTAAAGTCCCAATCCTTTTTGCCCAACTGATCAGCTATTTCACGAAGAGCATTCTCTGCAAGTTTAAACCCATTACCACCACTTAAAGATGAATGGACACATGTTCAACAGAGGCATTGGTCGAAAAGAAGTTAAAAATTCAAGCAGAAATATTTAAAGAAAAAAATTATCGAGCATTGCAACAACTGACAACACTCAAAACAAGAAAACTAAAGAACCTTACTTTCTTCCTCAGGGAGATAGCCATTCTGTGCTAAAGTAATTTTTGCTTGCAGACAAAGAAATATTGTTAAGATGTACATGAAAGTGAAAAAGGTTTTGGGGATATTAACAATTGTCTGCATCTTAATTCTTGATCTTAATACAAAATCTATTAGGCTGACATATTCATGGTGGAATATGTATATATACTGAGCATGAGACATTCACTTAATCCCTTTAGACAGGTAGTGTGACTTTAAAATAAGGTGGGACCTTCAATAATATGGTCATAATTACAAAATGTTGACATTGATTTTATTATTATATTTTACAAACACCACTAATTTTGCTTGTTTTCTAAATTTCGGGACTCAGATATTTTCATATATTCATGCAGATCGCAGACAACCAGTTTTCTTAAATTTGTTTTGGCTGATACTGAATTATTGGTGACCACTGTTAGTATTAACTATTAATAGCCCCATCCCACACAGTGCAATAAACTTTACCTAGTTATAGATAGAACGAAAAGGACCTGGTTAGAAATTTGGCTAAAAGACAATACCTAAAGAGGAGACCATATCTTAATTGTATCACATGAATTAAAGAATGTAATTCTACTTTTGAGCTACAATTAAATTAAATTACCATCAAAGTATAAAATTAATACTCAGTATGTGCAATTAGTGCTTACTATCAGTGGTAGCCCTGAAATCAAACTGTATATGCAACGTTGGGCCCTCTCCCAGACTTTTCCATTCATTCACAGTGCCAGAAAGACTTCGGATCAGAACAAAACTGGAAATAATTAAATAATTAATAATTGAAAAATAGAAAAAAAAAAAATCATAAATGCTTTCTCAGTAGCTAAATCATCTTATCCCCCACCCGAAGACTTTTCTCTAACATACGAAAAATCAATAATTAATATCGAATTCATACCATATAAAACAAGGGAACTTCCACTTTCTTTGCCGCCGTCGTCTTCGACCTAATTGCAGCATCCAGATTAAATGGATTCAGATTCAAACTCCGATAAGACGCCATTAACGAGTGTGCGAAGCTTGGTTGAACTGTAATGGCCCGCTTTGATTTTGTTAATTACACTGATTTTGACGGTGCGATTTGTTGCTGCAAATAGGAAGCAATCAAAATTATTTTCACGAACTGGGTCGATTTATTACTGCTATACGCAGTAAAAACGCGTTTAAGGCAATCCCCGCTTTTAATTAAGGAAATTAATCTTTTTCAAGATACTACTAATATTTTAATTAAGGAAATTAACCTTTTTCAAGATACTACTATTATTCATGGTGGTTTTAATTAGGAAAATTGGTTGTTAGAGACTGATCAGATTTTTAATTTCCTTTCCTCAACAAAATTCAAAATTGAAAAAAACAAAACAAAAGAAATCCTGTTTAATAAATGTTATAATTTTTTAAAGATAAAAAAATTGACCTAATATAATTTCCGATTAAATTAATATTACAGTGTGTTTTTTTTTTTACAACAACAAAATTAGCCTTACATGTATCAGTAAATGTGAAAGTAATTACAAATTTACAATATCAATGTAATACATTGTCTCTACTAATCTCATTAAAACCAGACGTGGACGAAGAAAAAGCCGGATCGGTTCGTACGGCAGTCGAATCCTGCGACGGGGTCCACGTGGAGCTCTGTTTTTGCCTATCCTGGTGGAAATCTTTCATAGCTCTAAACCTGACGTCATTAGTGTACGTGCTTCCTTCAGGAATCGAATCTGGAATATCCATTTTTCCTTCGAGCATTTGCACAACCTCAGTCATTGTAGGCCGCACGGACGGAGTCGCGTTCGTGCACAAAACTGCTATTTTCACCACCCTCTCTACTTCCTCTCTCTTCATGCTCGAACCCAACCTCTCGTCGATTAGTTCGTCGATTTTTTTACTTTCTTGCAAGTGATTAGCCTGTCGTATATCATATTCGTAACTTCTATTAGTATACACTAAAACAAATTAAAAAATTAAAATGGTTTTGGTACGGTACCCAATCGAGAAGGCAAACAAAATTACGGCTCGGCATGTAGTTGTTGTTGCTTTTCCCACTGACGATTTCCAAAATCACGACCCCGAAGCTGTAAACGTCTACTTTGTCGGTGAGGTAACCCCATAGAGCATATTCCGGTGCCATATATCCTCTTCATCAATCCACACGAAAGATTGCGTTATTTTTAGTGACGGGTATTATTATTTAGTACGGCGAAATTGAATTAGAAAGTCGACCAACTTACATTGTGCCAGCAACTTTGGTGCTAATGTGAGTCTTCTCGTCTTCATTTAGCCTAGCCAATCCGAAATCCGATATTTTAGGGTTGAGATCTTTATCCAGCAACACGTTAGTGGCTTTAATGTCTCGATGCACAATTTTCAGCCTCGATTCCTCGTGTAGAAAAGCTAACCCTCTTGCGATCCCGATACAAATCTGGAACCTTGTGGGCCAGTCCAGCATCAATTGGCTTTCCTTCGAATCTGCAAGTATTGTCATTCACTGCATTAAGGCACAAATAATATAATGTACCAACAAATATTTTATGGAATTAAAAAATATATATATATTACCGAATAAAACATGTGCAAGGCTGTTGTTATCCATATACTCGTATACGACTAGCAACTGATCTCCTTCGATACAGCACCCGTACAGCTTCACGAGATTTGGGTGCTGTAAACAAGAAATCATGCCGATTTCATTCAAGAACTCGCGGTTGCCTTGTCTTGATTTAGACGAGAGCTGCTTTACGGCAATTACAGTACCATCGGGTAGTACACCCTGCATCAGAAAAAAAATAAAAATCACAAGAACGGAATTATAAAAAAGACTTGAGTAATCCTTTTCCGTAATTCGTAAAATCAGCACCTTGAAAACAGGACCGAAACCACCTTCTCCAATCTTGTTTGAAGGATCGAAGTTGTTAGTAGCAGCTCTAATTTGTTTCAGAGTGAAAGCAACCGTTTGGAATTCTAGACCTTCAAATTCTGTCAAAAGAAAGCAGAAAATCGAGCCTTTTTTTTTAATTGAATTTTTGCAACTCCATTCACATTTCGGATTGCAGAGAGATATACGAGTAAGTACGATTTTGATCTTATCGAACCCATTTTTTCTTTATCAGCAATACCTTTTCCACGTCGTTTTTTGCCTTTTAAGTAACCTTTCCACCAAAGGATGCTTAACATCAAGAAAATAACGCACACCGCCACAACTGGACCTACTATATAAGCAGTTACATTCTTCTTGTTGCCATCTGAACACACTTTAAAGTCTGCAAGAGTAATCGACAAATAAAATATTTAGTTAAAAAATAAAAAATTAAGCTTTACGGAAATTTATCTTAAATAAATGAAAGTTCTCACTTGGATTAACTGAAATAGCCGATATGAGAGAACCATAATCTCCTCTATTGGGAATTCGTGTAGTCCCTTTACCAGCCCAGTAAAAACGGATCTCCAATGTACTATCTGCCACTGTGGCATTGAAGTATCTAACGACGGGCTTTCGAACTCCACGAGCTTCGTTTTCTATATTGAAATCTTCCCTAACTAATATTTCCTGATATCATAAATTATTATCAGAAATAAGTTTGACACCTTATCTTGGTAATAATTACACCGAGTTCGAAAAAACAACCTGGATGTATATATCAAACATTCGCCTTCCAAGACTGTGATACGTACTGTCGTTTGCGAAGAGTATTTCGGCAAAGTGCAAGCTCACATTGTAACTCCCATTCTCCAAGCAATAATGGAAATACGTAAGTGAAAGAGGGCTGAGGCGGGCCCTACTGTATAAGTCGGGGAGATTTGTTGTCGATGTAGTTACGATAGATCGTGAGTGTTGGTAAATAGGTTCGTCTATGAAATCACCGGTGCTAACAAAGCCCCAGTAGTTATCGCTTAGGAATCTCGCGGCATCACCTCCGGTGTCTCCTTCGTAAATAACTCTCCGATTGCTTTCTTTGAGATTTAGATTCTCTCCACCACAATTGACATGCAACGAACATTTATCTGAAAGCAAAACGTAACATTCTTGATTATAAAATTGCGGGCTCTAAAATTCGGAGCAAAATCATAGAATACTTACACTTCGGGCAGCCTACATCTCTGGTACATGGAAGGATTCTTTGTCTGTTGAATGTTAAGAATACGAGCATTTATCACGACAGATGCGTTCGAGTATATTACTAAAAGCAGAAAGAAAAAAGTGCGTCTTACAATGTATTCACTGTAGATGAGCCTTTGAACAAGTTTACGTTCCGATTCCTGCAAAGGAAAATACAGTATTAACTTATTACCAACATAACAAAAGTTGGAAAGTCAACTGCAATGTAATAGGGAAAATTTTAACGGTTTCTCTGACATGTTCGGTTGACAAGCAGGTTCATCAGGGCCTTGCAGAGTAAAATTATTGTACGATAGATCACTGCACAAAAATCAGCAAGCTAGTTATTCTCTGGAGTATCTAAATAATACCGAGTGTCAGAAAGTCAACGTCTTTTCAGAGTCAACGCGATATGATTTGGAAAAAAACAGTTGCATGATGAAAACGAGAAGCCAAATGAGAAATGTAAATACGAAAAACTTACATGTTGCTTCCATCCTTCATGAGTGCATCGGGTACGTTTCCACTCAGCATGTTTCCAGTCAGAAACCTGTTTATAGGAAGCACGACACATCCTATCACATTATTTGCAATTCAATCAAATCTAAAAAAAAAAAAAAAAGAAATCGGCACCCACACAAGTTTCAGATTTCTCGCAATGTGATTCGGGATCGTCCCGACTAACTTATTGAAACTGACATCCCTGTCAATATAATAAAACACAAACTATAGTCAATAAATAGAAACTAATTCAATTATCGAAGAATAAGAACGGTAGTTAGTTAGGTCACTCACAACATCTGTAGAACCCTAAGCCTCCAAATATACGCCGGGATTTCTCCAGTAATGTTACAGTTTCTCAATATCCTATATCCATGAATGTACGATTCAGTAGCTAATACGAAACACGAATAAACCAAGAAGCATCGCAATTATACAGTGTTACTCATCGTACAATGTTGCTAAGCCTGTAGTACTCCTTAGCATCGGAAATTCCTGGGCCGGCCCTTTTAGGTCACTAATTCTCCTGTATATCGAAAATCCATCAGAAAATTCTTCGAACTTAAAACAGGTATACGTATACCGAAAGAGGGAAATAATACTCACAAGTCAACTAACATATCTAGGAGAGATATGTTTACGGGAATCGGCCCCTTCAGTCCACTTGCAAACATTTCTCTTCATCGAACATTAAGTAAACAAATGTTAGAACAAGAATATTACGAGAATATTATATATATAGTACCTCTGCGGTTAAGGGTTACAGAAATCTTACAGTTTAGTAAGCTGTTTCCAGTTCTGGATAAAGTCGGGTATTCGTCCATTTAAGTTGTTGTCGTTTATCCTACTGTAATCGGAAAAGAAAATGTCGGACATAGCATAACTTTAAGAGGTGAAATTGAAGAAGTCGGTTAAAAGTGAGCTTACAAGTCGATTAAGTTTGTCAAATTTGAAAACGATGTCGGCAATTCTCCAGTTAGTTGGTTTGAGGACAAGATCCTGTGATTTAATCAACAGGATAGCAAATCGAAAATGTGAGTTACGGTTATAACTTATAAGCAGCATATTCATATGTTGAAAATTAAATAAAATCTCTCGTTTAATTAGCAACATGAATATCTTACAGAGTCTTTAAATTCATCAACTTCCCCATACCAGGAGGAATAGCACCTGAAAATCGGTTCACCTCAAGATTCCTAATCAAGAAAATGACAGTTGAACTCATTTCAATTATACATTATGTAAGTAGTACAAATCGAGATTAATTAAAGTGACGACTTACAGGTAAGTAAGGCTAGTGATGTTTCCCAATTCCTTCGGTATTTGCCCTGATAAACGGTTTACAAGGACAGATCTGCATACAAATTCTGCCAACATTGTTAATGATCGAAAAAACAAAAGAAAGCATTACAACTTAGCCACACGAGCAATATAAACCATACATGAAATCCAACCGCAACGAAGCCCATTCTCCTGGAATTGTACCGGTGAGAAGATTGTAAGCAAAATCACTGAAAACAAACGAAATATTCATCAAATGTAGCATATGAAAGACATCATAAATCACCGAATTTTTGGGCTCTTACATATATTCAAGGTAAGGAAGTTTCACGATACCAGGAGGGAGAGTTCCAGGAAGATTATAACCCTTAATCACACTGCAATAAGCGGAACATGAAATTAAATCGTTAAAATCCTTGGCATCCTTAAATAAGAATACGAGAAAAAATGCTGACTAGATAAAGTTACGTGATTCGGAATTGAAAGTATACATTTTTGTAACATGGCAAACGGTGTTGTTGTTATAGTTGCAATTACATTCAACATATCCCTCGGAGCCACTCGGGGGCGTAGGCGAAACCCCAACCATATCCAGTTCACATAAATCGGCATTGAAACTCCACGATGTCGAACCCATTTCTGAAGCAATTTGTTGGAGAGCAATCACTGTTGACAAAAAAAAAACGAGAGAAATCACAAGTCGTTAACCTTCTTACATGATTACGATAATAGCGTTTATTTTCTCAATTTCCCCATCAAATACAAAATAAATGCCGTTGCACTAATTACAGTACCCAATTCTTTCTCGACTGAGCGGCCATAAATTCGATATCGATTAATTCGTCGATTTCTTTCATCACCATGGAAACTAAACGAGATAACTTCTACAAAAACTTTAATTTCTGTGCCGTTGAATCTTTGCTTTCATTAAATTTTGATTCTCGTTTGTTCTTATTTAGTCATCAGCAGGAAATTAAACAAGTCATTAATTCAATTCAACCTAGCTTCTGGGCACCAGCCCAAAATGCACAAACTTAATAAAATAAGAATAAAAAGGGGAAATCAGTTACTATTTACTAACCCTCTTCCTGCGGCACCTGCGATTCCGACAACCTCAAAAACCCCAAACAACAAACGGCAAAAAACCAGTAAACAACAGTTTCTCTGAGAAGCATCTTCCCCAAACATCAAAATTTAAGCACTAATTTACAGCGTGATGCTAAAATTTAAATAAATTATACTTTTTTACATACATTAGCAATTTAGCAGTATGTATATATATGTGAACTGCTAACTGTGCGCTTATGTAAGAAAGAAAAACTGTGCGCTGGTTTGAGTCGGTCCAAAAAAGCAGATTGAGAGAGAGAGAGAGAGAGAGTAACAGTACAACTGAGATAAAACTCCATCCTTTATTTTGTTTGTTTGAATAATAAAGGTGGCTATTATGGGTTATTTTTTCTATATTTGTATTTTACTGTTTTGACCCGATTGAAATCCGGATTAAAATTGTTGGTATAAATAGAAATTGGACTATAATTTTCTTTTGCTTTGTAATGATATTTAATTCAATTAATTAAATGTAGTTGCATACTTTGATTATTCAACTCTGATAACGAAACGCTGAAATTTATGCCCCAATTACGAAAAGTCGTAGTATCTGACTATCTGGAACTAAAAAAAATATATAACAATATTGTTAAATGTAATCTATATAATATATAAAAGTTGAATTGCATAGCTAATTGATTGACATTTGGCAATTACAATTGATGACATGTAATCAATTTCATCCCAAGTGGCGAATTGATTGGTGGAAATAAATCATCAAAAAACATGTCATCATTTTCCAAAATTAGAGGTAATTAAATATATTTAATTATTTTATTAATATATTTATATCCTACCATTTATAAAATGCTCTAAATATATCAACTTTCTTAGAAACCCTAAATAAATTTATTTTTTTTATTTCATTTTATAATTAATTTAATTTGAATTTAGTCAAATTCGATTTAAAATCTTCCCTTATTATAATTGCATGATTGGTGGCGTTACGAATTTTTTTAATTTTAATTCATAAAATTGGATTTATATTAAAAAAAATATTGCAGAATAAATTATTTGATATTATACATTTTACATGAGCATGACAAGAGAATATGTATTTTTTTTACTAATTTAATATTATATATTAATATTATCTGTAAAAAAGAAAGATACATGTTTGAATTTACTATCTTGCAAAAATTGACACTATTTGTTATGCCATGTGTAGAGTAATGTACTCCCAAATATGTACCATATTGAAAATCATACTACATGAGTTTCATTTTATTATTTAAATAACTATTTTTTCTTCACTGAATCCAGTGGCAATAAATTTTACGATTGATTTAACCTTTTAAATTATATACTAATTAAAATACAAATTTTATCATGATTATACTAATATATTGAATAACCTAAGTGAAGCTTAATCAAATCATAAAAAAATGAATTGATTTTATATATTTCAAAATATAATAATATATATCTATATAATATATAAAAGTTGAATTCCATAGCTAATTGATTGACATTTGGCAATTTTAATTGATGACATGTCCTCAATTTCATCCCAAGTGGCGAATTGATTGATCGAAATAAATCATAGAAAAACATGTCATCGTTTTCCAAACATGTCCTCAATTTCATCCCAAGTGGCGAATTGATTGATCGAAATAAATCATAGAAAAACATGTCATCGTTTTCCAAAATTAAAGGTAATTAAATATATTTAATTATTTTATTAATATATTTATATCCTACCATTTATAAAATGCTCTTAATATATCAACTTTCTTGGAAACCCTAAATAAATTATTTTTGAATTTAATTTTATAATTAATTTAATTTGAATTTAGTTAAATTCGATTTAAAATCTCCTCTTATTATAATTGCATGATTGGTGGTGTTACGAATTATTATAATTTTAATTCATAAACTTGGATTTATATTAAAAATAATATTTCAGAATAAATTATTAGATATTATACATTTTACATGAACATGACTAGAGAATATGCATTTTTTTAATAATTTAATATTATCTATTAATATTATCTGTAAAAAAGAAAGATACGTGTTTGAATTTACTATCTTGCGAAAATTGACACTATTTGTTATGCCATGTGTCGAGTAATGTACTCCCAATTATTTACCAAATTGAAAATTATACTACATGAATTTCATGTTATAGTTTAAATAATTATTTTTTCTTCACTGAATCCAGTGACAATCAATTTTACGATTGATTTAACCTTTTAAATTATGTACTAATTACAATACAAATTTTATCATGATTATACTAATAAATTGAATAACCTGAGTTATGTTTAATCAATTGATAAAAAAAACGAATTGATTTTATATATTTCAAAATATAATAATTCTCTTTGGTATTAAATTCATTTATCCACTTTATTTAATGGCTAACATTAAGAATATCAATTGTTTTGTTTAAAATGTATAATGGTCGTATATACTATATATTGTATTCCACTAATAAGTATTTCATTATAACTCTAATAAATATAGTTAAATATCTAGAGCAACACTAACCCAAAAGTATCAAAATGAGTTTGCAAGTATTTATGTGCTATTTAATATTTTATTTTGATATTTATCTAAATGTATTTGCTCCAACCATAGGTATTAAATAGTTGTTAATTAAATATATCTAATTGCCATATGTTATTTTCTAAATGGACACTAAGATGGTTAAATTCATAACTCATGTTTGATATTTTATACTCCATGATTGCATAATGTATTTTTACATTCTGAAAGATGAAATATCAAAATACCTCATTTCATAACTCTATTAGAATTAAAAATTACTATTTTGGAGTATAAAAATGGTGGTTAAATGTTTTGATAGCTCATTTAATAATGCCACTCGAAGTGCTCTTGCCGTAAATAGTTTATATTAATAATTCCCCTAATGTTTGTTTCCGTCTTACATTGACCCCCTTATGGTATGATTTTTCAAGGAATTTTTAATCCTTATTATACCCTGCACACACGACATTTCTTTATGGTACTTTTTAAAGACAAAATTACCCTTAGGTGAACTTTACACGAAATCTTTATTCTTCTTAAATAACACTTTCACAAATTTTTATTATTACCATAACCACCCATGAGGGTAACTTTTGAGTTTAAAATGTACGATAAAAGAAATGTCACGTCTGCAAGGGTAGACTCCATATTTTTTGGGACATTATATGGAATTAAAAAGATTCCGTAAAAAAATCAACCATAAGGGGGTCGTGTAAGACATAAACAACCATCAGGAGAATTTCGGTAATCACCGATAAGTTGGGGTGTTTTCTGTAATTTAGCCTAAGTTCAAGAGGATTTTCATAATTTATCTTATTAACAATGATTATTGTTCTTTTACGTCTTAACGTTTGCTTATACCCTTATAATATTTTAAATAATTTTAATGTCAGTTTGATAATATAATAAATATTAATTTCTAATATATTTAATATGTGTTTTTTTATGGTTCATGCAGCTACCACACATAAGAAATTTGATATAAATGTTCGAGATTGAATATAATTATTTATTTATACTAAATAATAGATCATTGCAAAAACAGATCTGTAAATTAGAATTTGTGATTAATATTAGTTTTGGAATTAAAATTATAATTAAGATTCTTTGAATTAGTAGTAGTAATACTAGAAATGGGATTCATACTGTGATTAGGATTATTATAATATTAGATTATGATTAATATTAGTATTAGAATTATAATTAAGATTATGATTATGCTTAGTACGATAATTAGTGATATATATTAGTATTAGGAATATGATTAACATTAGGATTATTGGAATTAGAATTATAATTAAGATTAGAATTAGAATTAACATTAGCATCATTAGTATTAAAATTATTAGGCTTATGATTAGTGTTAGGAATAGGATTATGATTATGATTATGATTCGAACTATGATTAGTGTTATGAATAGAATTAGGAATACGATAAGGATTTGGATAATATTAGAATTACAATCATAATTAGCATATTTAGATTATCATTAGCATCAAAATTAGTATTAGCAATAACATTAACAATATTAACATATTAGTATTAGTAACATTATTAATAATATAATTAGTATTAATATTAGTATTAATAATAGTATTAGTATTGGTATTAGTATTAGTATTAGTATTAGTATTGGTATTAATATTAGTATTAGTATAAATATTAGTATTAAATCACAAATGTCCCTAACTAAATCACAAATGTACATGTATAAGTACCACAATATGTATCAGTACCACAATATGTATCAGTACCAATATCAGTATCATTATTAGTATCGGTATCAGTATCAGTATCAGTATCAATATCGATATCGATCTACAAGCCCATAGAGGCACACAAACCAAGCCCAAATCGACTAAAGATAATAGTACAAGCCCAAGTCGTCTAATGCCTAAACTGGCATGATCTAAACAGTTAGGCCCAAGTTGACCCATATTAAGTGGCTTAGGCCCATGAGAATATATATCTCCATATAGATACCCGGATACCTCACAATTAAAGGTACGCAATTCATAATTCCCGAGCAGTCTCTTGAATTCTTTGAATTCTTCGATCATACAAAGCTGACTTGAGCGTCAGAGGGTTTTCGCCGGGACCAATCCCGGCGCCCTAACGACTTTTCGTGATGCAGGTAGTGCCCACGCGAGACAATATGTATCAGTACCACAATATGTATCAGTACCACAATATGTATCAGTACCAATATCAGTATCATTATTAGTATCGGTATCAATATCAGTATCAGTATCAGTATCAGTATCAATATCGGTATCGATATCAGTTTCTGTATATATGTATATGTATCATTAGCATTCGATCATTAGCAATAAAATTAGTTTTAGCATTTATATTAGTATTAGTAATGATATTAGTATTAATATTACTATTAGTAATAGTATTAGTATTAATATCAGTATAAGTATCCATATCAGTATTAGTATCGATATCAGTACCAATATCAGTATAAGTATCAGTATCGGTATCAGTATCAGTATCAGTATCAGTATTAGTATCGGTATCAGTATCAGTATTAGTATCAGTGTATGTATCAGTATCGGTATCAGTTTCAGTATCAATATAAGTATGAGTATCAATATTAGTATCAATTTCAGTATCAATATCAGTATTAGTATCAATATTAATATTAGTATCAATATTATTAGTATAATATTAGTATTAGTATTACTATTTTTATAGCATCAGTATCAGTATGAGTAAAAATATTAGTATCAGTATTTGTATGAGTATCAGTATTAGTAATAGTATTAGTATTAATATTAATATTAATATTACTATAAGTATGCATATGACTATCAACATCATTATCAGTATTAACATCAGTATCAATATCAATATCAGTATCAGTGTCAGTATCACTATCACTATCGGTATCAGTATCAATATCAGTAAGTATTAGTATTAGTATTATTATTAGTATTAGTAATAATATTATACTAATTATACTGATATGAATACTAATATTGATACTAATACTGATATTGATACTGAAATTGATACTAATATTGATACTCATATTAGTATTAATATTACTATTTTTATCAGCATGAGTATCAGTATGAGTAACAATATTAGTATATGTATTAATATGAGTATCATTATTAGTAATAGTATTAGTATTAATATTAATATTACTATGAGTATCAATATGACTATCAACATCATTATCAGTATTAACATCAGTATCAGTATCAATATCAGTATCAGTATCAGTATCAGCATCACTATCACTATCACTATCAGTATTTGTATCAATATCAGTAAGTATTAGTATTAGTATTAGTATTAGTTATTAGTATAAGTATTAGTATTAGTATTAGTATAAGTATTAGTATTAGTATTAGTATTAGTATTAGAATTAGTATTAGTATTAGCATTAGTATTAGTATTAGTATTAGTATTAGTATTAGTATTAGTATTAGTATTAGTATTAGAATTAATATTAGACTATTAGTATTAGTATTAGTATTAGTATTAGCTTTAATATTAGTATTAGTATTAGTATTAGTATTAGTATTAGTATTAGTATTAGTATTAGTATTAGTATTAGTATTAATATTAGTATTAGTATTAATATTAGTATTAGTATTAATATTAGTATTAGTATTAGTATTAGTATTAGTATTGATATCAGTATTAGTATCAGTATTAGTTAGTATCAGTATTGGTATTAGTATGTGTATCGATATTAATTAGTATCAGTATTAGTATGGATATAAATTAGTATAAGTATTAGTATCGATATTAATATCAATATTGGTATCCATATTGGTATCGGTATTGATATCAGCATTGGTATCAATAAAGGCATATACATCTTATCTCTTTTGCAATATTTATAAGTTGTATTGTTGTTTGAGTAATGTGCATCACTAATTAAACGCGGTTAGTAATAAACTTACAGGTTATTTGAATATTTATTGTGTTACTTCTCTGCTACCGTGTTTGTTGTTAAGTTAGTTATTTTGCAAAAGATTGACACTGTGTAGTAGGTTGCATTCACCTCAAAATAGAGTTATACCATATGTTTTAAGTGATTTCACTTAATCTTCATATCGTGTTTGCGCGCTTCACGTTGTCTTCGTTGTAATATTTAATTTAATTTCATATGTTAAAACTCTGAATTAAGAGATAAAGTTTATGAATTTTTTATTTCCTTCCATTTTGTTTTACTTGAATTGGTGTTGTTATAAAGAGATAGTCGTTTACATATTATTATTTTTCTCATTTTAAAACTGACCTCCGTGCAACGCACGGGTGAAGAACTAGTTATTGGGAAAAAGAAAATGAATTTTTCAAAACAAAAATTAGATATTGAAATTTCATATATATTTTAATCGAATCCAAAAAGAAAAATTGAAAATTGAAAATTGGAATGAAAACTAATATTCCTAAAATGTTTTTATGTTCCATGTTGGAACATAAGGGTATTAATGTAAAACCGCAAGTCTGTTTAAACCAACCAAAGCGCTGTCACCGATTCAATTAATAACCGTCGATATTTCTATATTATATACTACGTAGAAGCTGTAGAAAATAATTTACGTAATTGAAATAATAATATTTAATATTTAATTAGAAAAGCAATTAAAATAATGACGAAATATTGCTACACGTGGAAAATGATTATCATGCATATATATTAATTATTTTTTTAATATATATAAATATAAGTTACACGGAAATAGAAACACACACAAGAGAGAATAATTAATAGATGAATTATCAGTTAGGAAGAATTATTGTTGCGGGAAGAGGTTTTGAGGAAAGAAGCGGTTTTGGTGATTTCACGGAGCGGTTTATTAGTGAACCGGATAATATTGTAGACCCATGCCCCGGATATTGCCCCGGCAATTGGGCCCAACAAGTAGATCCATATTCCTTTGTAGTGGGTTGATACTATTGCTGGGCCCAAACTCCTTGCTGGATTCATTGATGCCCCTGATATCGGCCTGCATTCATTCAATACCCCAATTTTAGACCCCTTAATTTTAAGAAATTAGATTCAACCCCCTGTAGTTTGTAAATTCTTGCACACAAACCTCTACCAAAGGGTGTTAGTGTAATAAATCTACAAATTGTCGGGGTGGATGTAATTATGGCGAAACGAGAGGTTTTTCGTAAATAGACCTTAACTAAGGGGTGGTTGTAGTTTACCCTTAATTGGTATAATCTTTGAATTCATGCAATACAAAAGAAGGTTTACTGAATAATGATTATAGAGCAGTGACACTAGACATAATGTGCATGCTTTTACGCCAAATTTGACATTTCTTTTAAGTAAACTAGATGGAAAGTATACTCATCAACCGACCAATTTCAGAACCAAATATTCGACTGTCAACTATCGACCGACCAACAAAGGTTGGGTCGGCAATGGTTTTCAAATTTGAGCAAAATAGTTTTTTCATATGGCCAGGACTGCATTTTAGGCCGATAATCGATCGGCGCAACCCTACTCTGAATGGTTTTATAAGCAAAATTCGAGTCATGTATTAGACAAGTTAGGCATACCAAATCTTATATCTAATCTATATCGCCTTATTTAATTTCGTTTAAATTAATTTTGTATGCTTGTTTTAAGTATTGACGAAGAAAACTAAATAATTTAACGTACCCGGCAAACATGACATTGAGCAAAACGGTAGCTCCAACGGCCAGACCAGCAAGCTCTCCAATCTGCACCAATAAAAACTCATCTAATTAATTAAAATTAATTAATTACGTCATTTTCATCTGAATTAAGATTATGAAAAATATCATATTCATTAATGACTAATGGTCCCGTTCATTGATTTCATAGCAGTATTTCTAGATACAGGGGGGCCTATTAAGTAGATCTTCCAAACTAACCAGCCAAACACTACCTTGTCTAAAAATTAATAATTCATAATATAATAAATTTAATAGAAGAAAAAAAAAATTAATTATTACGTACAGCTCTGTTATCCGTGGCAACACCGGAGATGACGAACATGAGGTAGAATGTGATAATAAATTCCACCACCAGCGACTGCACGTCGCTGCCGGTTGGTAGGGTTCCGGCGAAGTGATCGTGGGTCCCACTGAATAGCAACCGTAGGGTTCCGCTTGCTAGGGTTGATCCCACCACTTGCGCCGACACATACGCCGGCACCTAAAAAATAAATATCAAGTATAAATTTAATTTGGAAGAATTTCCAAGTTCTCGTGTGAAAGTTATTAATTAAGTCAACGGTTGACTGGTCAATTTTCGTTGACTGGTGAAGTGTATCAGAAAGGAGAAAATTTGCACCAGTTTTTTTGTCGGATGATTTATTTGTAATAATGATTAATTAGTGGTACCTGTTTCCATGGGAACCTCTTGCAGGTGGCGAAAGCAATGGTTACGGCGGGGTTGAAGTGGGCGCCGGAGATGTGTCCGACGGAGTAAACCATGACCATGACGGCCAGACCCCAAACGATGGATATTCCGGGGAGGGTCACCACCTTCTCCTTGTCGGAGTTAACCACCACCGACGCACAGCCGGCAAATATCAAGAAGTACGTCCCCAGAGTCTCCGCTATTATCTGCGTTTCATTAATTCATTAATTGAGAGAGAGAGAGAGAGAGAGAGAGAGAGAGAGAGAGATTACCTTTTGAATAAAGGGTACAGTGAGAAAGATACAGGTTGAAGAGTTTTCAGTAGTGTTCTTGGAGTCACGATCATCGTCTTTTATGTTCACCGCCACGCCGTGGTTACCGTTTGCTCCGCCGCCTGATAATATCTGATCAGCCATTATATTTATTTATATTTATTTCTCTTTACACAAATTGAAGTTCCAGAAATTGGGGTTTGCAGAAATATATGGGGGAGTGAGGAAGAAGCAGATCAATTTATGCGAGTTTTTCTTTGACTTTTGAAGGGCGTAGATCACTGCATTTGACTATTACCCATTTAGGTTAATTTCTTCATGATAAACTTTTTTTTTTTTTTGTCCATTTATCAGTTAATTTGATTTTCAATTTATTATTATTAATTAATTAATACTCTTTGGATATATCGTTGAAAAGTGTGGCGCCTTTATTTTGATCTCGATGGCATTGATGGCTACTTCAACAACCCCACCCGAAATTCAGAAATATATATATTTTGCATTCTCAACCCCTAACCATGTTAATATTCAATTTTTGTGTTTCATTTGATTATTTTATTTCGTAGTATATATATATATATATATAATAATAATGCATTTATACCAATTGAATGAAATATTTTATTAGGCTTGTTAATAATGATTTGATAATTCTTAGTATAATCAACTTCCAATTAGGTGGGGATCGACTACGGATATTTTGTGAGTAGAGCGGCTTATGTTGTTTGATTATGTGCAAGACAAATATATATTGCCAAAACCAATAAACAAAACAAATATTAATTAATGTATAATTTCTTGTTCTTGGAATATTCACTTTAATTTGTTCTACATATGTTTACGTGGACGTGGTTTGTATGCATTATTGCAATTGGCATAACGCCATAAACTAAGTACAGGGACGATCATGCATTATAAATAGCTAAGTATATACATACAACATTATTTCAGTATATATATATAAATATATTCAAGAAAATAATTATTAAATTAGTAGTAGTACTACATATAATACAAACAAGAAAATCATGGACAAGAAACAAGCATTCGGTATTGTTTTTTCCTTGCAAATTAGCGCCCATACAATTAGTTTCTATGTAGAAAAAAAAAAACAAATTTCAAGAATCGTGATATTTTAATTGCTTAAAGCCTTAAACTATGCACTAGCCGAAAATTAGGGGATTTAGATACTACACCTGACTATTTATACCGGATGGATTTGAATCGTGAATTTGATTAAATAACTACACACTAAGCACATATACATATGGATGTGCGTGATGATTATGTGTAGATCTACGATTTAAATCCATCAAGTGTAAATGGTTTTCCGAAAAATCAGATTTATTCATAAATGGACAAATTCCATTTTCGAAACTGGTTAGTTGGTGACCAACTGCTACAAATTTACATAGCTTCAAAACCAAGGAAAACTTGATCTTTTAAAATTGCATGTAACTGTGTGACTTAGGAACCAATTAACCAAAATTTGGTGGATTCTGTCATATATGTACCAATTAAATTGACGTGTTATATTTATTTATTTATTCTTTTTAAATATATATATATATATATATATATATATATATATATATATATATATATATATATATATATATATATATATATTGAAGATATTTTTACATTAATTTATTTAGATGGGAAAATGCATTATATTACTTAGTTCTCACCGGCATGGGGCATTTGGCAACCAACCTCTTAATTGCCCCTCTTCTGCCGATTTGATTCCACCACCTTATTTTGACTAGGTGTACATTATCATACGTAATTTCTTATTTTGTTTCTTTATATTATTAATGATAAATATAAATCAATTATGTCTTAAAATTATAAAGTAACAAACTAATTTGGGCACAATCTTTCTAATTAAAGAAACATTATTGATTTAAAAACAAGCGGAAAGGGGCCGGTGCCAAACTTGAGTAATCTTTACAATTTATTTCAGCAAAGGAAGTTAATGATAATTTAATGACCCATTAATTAATCAGTACATATAGCCCCACACAAACATCTAGAAACTCAAGATTAATTAACAAAAAAAATTAAACCACCCCACAATTACTGCACTCATAACCCTATTTTCTTCCCTAGCTAGGGCACGCATTCAAGGCAAGGCAAGGCAAACCAAAATTCAACTCGCATGCAACAATCCACTAATAGTAACTGTTAATCACCACTAATATTCTTGTAATTATCCAAAGTTTTCACACGGGTTTCTTGCATATAGTTGATATATACTTTCTCATGTGAAAGAATTCATATTAAAAGACCAAAACAAAAAAAAAAAGGACTAATAATTACAAGTTGGTTTGGATCCCATGATTCGTGAGTGATTTCAACTGGCCGGCGTTGACCGCCCGTGAGTGAAGTCTTCCTTTTTCTTCCCACTATTATGGGAGAGTTTGTGGGCTTTTGTCTCGTTAATCATCAATTCATCACTAATTATTGAAATTAATTCAACTCGTTCAAACTCACAAGATTTCCATTTTTGCTTCTTCTACGCTACATATTTTCAGTCGTTTTAAATTTAAATAATTGGTCAGATCAATTATAATGATAAATAAAAAAAATATTTTCTATTTATAACGAAAATTAAAACGTCCATAAAAAAATTGTTTAGCTGGATCAGGCTTTAAACACCGCAAAAAATACATTAGTAAAAAAATGTTACAATTAGTAGGCTGAATGAATGGATTTGGGCTTGGATTTGTTTGGGCCCAAAACGAAAAATGATTAACCAAGTGAAATGACGATACTATCCCCGCCAAGATCTACACTCTATTTTTTTTGGTGACCTGTTAAGAACTGTTGGTTGTTTACGGTTTGCAATCTGCAACTATTCACAACATTTACAAAATTCATTATCGAGTTCGATTCAACTTCAGCTCGATTAAAGCTCGTTCGGGTCGAGCTAGACTTCGTTGCTTATCAAACTAAACTCAAATACAAATTCGAAAACTCAATGAAAATACAAACTTTGCCAAATGGCAACATGAAAAACTCTATCTTGAAAACCACACACACACATACATTCATTTTAATTAACAATCACTTATAATACATCCCCAGTCACAGCTCCTAATTAATTCAATAAAATCTATGTTTAGTACAAAATCGCCTCGGAAAAAAGATTTCCAATTATATAAAAAAAAAAAAAAAAAAAAAAAAACAGCTGAAGAAAGAAGGGATTTTTTAATCCAATCAGAATTCACAAGTAAAGATCTGGGACGGCAGCCGCGAAGCTTCAGATTTGGGAAAGCACATATCGTCTAAAGCGTCGCTCCGGCACCATCGGCACTTCAGATTCTCACCGCATTCGGATCTCGACTCCATTTCTCCGCAGTCCCGTTTCGGGTCGACCCGATTAGCACTCTTTGATGTCTTGTTACCGGTGCCGGTGGTGGATAATTTTGGGCCGCGGATATGAGTCCGAGCAACATCATCGGGAACGACGGCGGCGGCGGCGGCTGATGGGCTACAGACTCGAATTAAAATAGCGATTAGACATAAATAAACCGTTGCGAATTTAACAGCTGACATTAATTAATCTGGGTGTAAGAACGGAAAGATCCGATAGATCGGATTGGGTTTCAGTAAACGAAGAGTGAGGAATTGAGAATAAGAGTGTGAGAAGACTGGGAATTAATTCAGGATATATTTGTTGTAAATAATTTTTCACTTGGGAGTATTGTATAATTTACTCAAAACCAAAGGGTAAAATTGCAAAACTGTGAACAGTTTGTAATTTCCTTATAACCGAAGGGCAAAATAGCAAACAACTTTTCCTCTGAGAACATTTTATAGTTTACTAAAAACCAAAGGGTAAAATTGCAAAAATGGAAACTGTTTGTAATTTACTTAAAACAGAAGGGCAAAACAGTAAATGCATATAAAAACATATTATTGGCCCATGCAGGTCTCGAACCTGCGACCTTCGCGTTATTAGCACGACGCTCTAACCAACTGAGCTAATGGGCCTCGATGTTTATATTTTCATACAATTTATATTATTACAGAATCCCATCGCGATCAAAGTGGCCTAAATTAATCGGAAACCAGTGTCAACTCCTTCCCCTGTTCTTTTTCCTTTTCTTGTGGCATCAAAATTTTCATTCTTTGCATATTGGTTTAGCAAATCCTTTTCTGGTGAAGCTGCCGTTTTCCACTGATCGGGGTTCAGATGTTAACACGAATTTGCAATCGAAGCCTCTGAAATTCAGGGTTAGCGGTTCCAATTTCTCCGCCGGTTGGTCCTCCTTTTTTAATTTTACCTAATGAATTGGTTGATTTAAGCTGTAATCCTTTATGTAGTTATAATTTTCATTTCATCAATTTTATTTTTGGACGCATTTGCAGCTGTTCGACCTAATTTTCCTTTTGTTTCTAAATGTTTGTAAACGGAATAGATTGAATTTTTGCCCAATCGTCTTCCTCTCATCGTTATTCGGTGTTTCAGAAAATTTTTAGACTCCATTATGTTTGATTTACTCATGTTTCTTTATGGAAAAACATGTTATTCATAGATTAAAGACTAAATTCAAACCTTTCAAGAACAAACACTCTTCACCTTGTGTTGTGTTGTGTTGAGCTGTGTCTGATGATGACCTTTTGCTGATGTTAGGGTTCTGGGTTTCCTCCAACAAAGAGAGTGATTCTTGCTAAATAACCCATTGCCGGTTTTACTAGCCAAAACATGGCTTCCCATGGGGCAGAAGACGTTGAATCGTTTAAAGAAGACCATGGGGAGGATATCTCGGGTAGCAAATGCTTTGTCATCCAAGCTGAAGAATCTGTTTCCGACGTTTTATTTCAGAACGAAGAGCAGGAGAATGATGCAATAGCGAGTCCCGTTAGCGAACATTATGAATCGGAAAAGTCTCGTATTGAATTGGCTGAAATTGCAACCGAGGCCCATATGGAGCAGAAAGAATCTACGTGTCAAAATACGGTGGAAACTGAACAACTTGACCCTGAGTCTTCACCTGAGAAAGGAGATAAAATGGTTCGAGAAATACCTAGCACGAAGGAATGGGATCCTCAATTAATTGCGAATACTGACAAAAAGAGCAATGTTCTGGATTCCGAAATGAACAATGTGACTATTTGTGGAGCTTTATCGCCACAAAGTATTGAAGCTGGTAATAATCAGAAGGGGGATTTGAATGTCTCGAATCTCAAAGAAGGGAAGTACTTCTGTTATGATACACCCCTACATGAAGAAACTGGGATTTGGATACCTGTTTCTGTTCCTCCGATGACTGAAAACGAGCATGAAGAATGGACCAGGGGGTTCTGCTCGAATGGTGGATACATTCCAGAAGAAGATATGGGTTGGAATCAATTTATTGGGGAAGATAAAGAATTCACCATGTGGGATGTGGTGGTGGAGATGTTACTTGCAGCACGCGGGAAAGTCAATGCTCTTGCTTCTGGTGATATTGACCAAATTTCGTGGCTGTCGACTCACCTAATCGAGCAAGCGTGGAAGGAAATGTCTCAAACCCTGACAGAGGCTAATTTCAGCAACACCCAAGAAATTCTTGAATCGGAGCCGCCAAAATGGTTGCCAGATAGTTCAGCTTCTTCCTGTATGCTTTGTAGCGTGCGGTTTCACCCGATCATGTGCACGAGGCATCACTGTCGGTTTTGTGGAGGAATCTTTTGTGGCGAGTGTACCAAAGGAAGGAGCTTGTTGCCCGAGAGATTCCGTACCGGGGACCCACAACGTGTTTGTGATGTATGCTTTGTGAGGCTTGAATCTGTGCAGCCGTACTTAATGAATCAAGTTAGCCGTGCTGCTCAGCTTCCGACGCATGATTTGACAGACTTGAGCACTTTAAGATCCTGGGTGAATTTTCCATGGGGACAGACGATGGAGTACGAGATTTACAAGGCTGTTAACACAATCCACGGTTATGCAAAGGTATGAATTCGACCCTTACGTTTATACTTAATGCACTTTCGTTTTGATTCAGTAAGATTCCCTTTTTGAATTGAGTTTCTCAGGTTGGTTCGTTAAGTCCCGAGAAGAGAATTCCTGAAGCCATTTTAAAAGATGCGAAAGGACTTGCAATACTTACGGTTGTGAGAGTTGGAATGATGGTCACGTATAACGTCGGAACTGGACTGGTGGTTGCTCGTCGGGAAGATGGTTCGTGGTCTCCACCCTCTGCCATTTCTTCCTTTGGCGTAGGCTGGGGTGCCCAGGTGCAGTAAATTCGAACTTCCGAGAATTATTTTCTTATACTAATGAAATTGTCGTTTCCTTTAAGTTTTCGATTTCTCGACAAGTTTGGCTTCAATTATTGTCGAAATTGTTGTACAGGCAGGAGGAGAGTTGACTGACTTCATCATCGTATTGCGAACAAACGAAGCAGTGAAAACCTTTTGTAGTGATACGCATTTCTCAATTGGAGCTGGTTTGAGCGCTGCTGTAGGAACCATAGGACGTACCGCAGAAGCTGATATGAGAGCTGGTGCAAGTGGATTTTCTTCCTGTTATACGTATAGCTGCAGTAAAGGTTTTTATCTTCTATCTCGCCTATCTTTGCATATTCTTACAACTTCTCCCTAAGTATATGGATTAATGTTTTATTTTAGATCTTTAAAGATTTATAGTTTTGGCTTAATCGTTGGGTCTCGTAAAATGCAGGTGCATTTATTGGGTGCTCTCTAGAAGGGAGTGTGGTCACCACTCGAGTAAAAGAGAATTCAAGATTTTATGGTACGCAGTCGATAAATGCATCGGATATTCTTATTGGTTCGTTGCCTAGGCCACCTGCTGCAGCCACTCTTTATCGTGCGCTAGGGGACTTGTATCTGCGTCTCGAGAAATAAAAGCGGAATTTGGTGAAAGGTGTTTACTGTTTATATGTGAATTTTAAGTCGGGTGATTGGGAAATTCCCACATCTTTGTGAAGAATCGCTTTGTAAATATTGTCATTGCTGTTAATATCGTAACCACGATTCTTTAGTTGTATATAATCAATTCTTGTACAGCAACTTGTGCCTTACATTTCCTTCAAACAGTTTCAGTGATTGCTTTATTAAGGAAAAATGGATTTGAATTTTGTCTGAGTGTCAACATGTCTTCGATACTTTCGTTTTATATTTTCATTTTTCGAATTCATAATATGTAATCTAACCTAAAGGGATCGCACTAAAGAATGGTATACATGGAATACAAGGAAAAATATGATTGTAGGATTGGACAGAAGCTAAAACTTTCAATTGACAATCGCGTAAACACCTACGAAACAACATCGTCAGAGATACAGACAAAACTTATGGTCTTTTTACATCCAAATTACATTCTAGTTACAGATGTTATACAACACAAACAGAATTCCGAGCGGGGAAAAAAAGAATCAAACGAATTTTCAAGGTAAACTGCGAGAAGAAAAATCTGCTAAAAAAAATGCAGAGCCCAACTAAAATTACCTATTTATACTTCAATCTCTGTTTCTTCGAATGTAAGAAAAGGAAAAAAGAAAAATAAAATGAAGGAAAATCTGCTCCCTGCTGTGTAATTTCCCTGGTTTAGAAAGGATCTGAAGCAAAATACGTAGTTGAACAAACGTGCAGTAATCAGACAACAGCACCTCGAGGAATATAAGAATATCTTTCACCTTTTTCTTCTACAACCTCTTCACCTGAAATTCCGAATATCAATTAAATTACCCGAGATTCATCCAAAGAAAATAGAACTCGGAAAAAAAATTGATTTTTAATACAGAGATTGTTTTGTAATAATATACCTGGTGTTAGAATTCCCCAGAGTAAGCTCAAGGTCATCAGGAGCACACTCTTCATGTATTCTCTCACCTTCCCATGGTTTCACTAGTCCCATAATATTACTACCGAAAGCAAACTCAGCCGACATTGCATCAGACATCGGAATATCCGCTGTTTGGTCCACCCCAGCTGTAATAGCCGGAGAGCAGGTCCCACTTTGCCCCGGGGTCCACATACGAGACCCCCCATTGGATAACGGTTCTTTAAAACCAAACGGATTAGCCGCCACAAGGCTGAACGTGGGAGAAGAAGCCCCATCTTGTGGAGTTTGTACACCAGAAAGCCACCTGGAATCAGGCGGAGTGTGCTGCATACCTGGACTTTGAGGCATTGAAGATGGTAGAAACGGGTAATGCTGACTGGACCAAATATTATTACCGGCCGTTGGGTCGTCCCAGTTACCGTTCATTCTAGGAGTGCGTGCAGTTGGTGAGCTCAACGGGGGTGTGACAGGAGCACTTATAGAACCTCCAGGAATGTAGAGGTGGTGGGGGAGCTTGGATGAAGATGGCAGAGTGCCGCCAGAGGATAGGTTTTTTAGCCAGGGGATGAGTGAGTTTGGGTCGGCGGTGTTAGTGGCGTTCCCTACGTAATGGGATGAAACGGGGCTTGCGAAAGAAGATGAAGATGGGCTTGGATTGAAAGAGGTACCTGGGCTTGGTTGATATGATGTGCAGGGGCTTACTGCAGATGAGCCCATTATATCCATACGTTCGACAGGCTTGCACCCCTGCAAGAGAAAGAGAGAGAGAAACAAGTTGAGATGAAGCAGAACACCAAGAAGATAAATGCCACGAAAAAAGGTTTTATATATGCAGAGGCACATTGGTTTTTCAGCACGACCAACACTTTGACGTAACTACCACTGATGAGTTAATCCCACTGAATGCTTAAAATCTGAATTAAGTCCTAACTAAATTTGCAGTAATATTTCATTGGTTTATACCACGCCTCGAAAATATGTTCACAATGCGGTCAGACTCATAACTGCACCACTTATGAAAATCCAATGTAACTTCTTTCATGATATGCCATATGCTCAATATCCTCAATAAAATTAACGGCCACAAAACGGGACCAAACTTTTAACAAATTTTCCCCATATTCTGGTGGATGAGATCTAATAGATACAAATTCTGTAAGCTTAATCACGATAATGAACGTGCTCATGTGATTTAAGAGACTGTCATCTGATTGAAGTAATGAAGTTAGGGGTGCATATTCTCTCATAATTCAATTCATTAGTAAGTAATGTGGCTGTCTAAACTGCAATTATTTTTAAGATTTAAAACCAGATCCATCTATTTGTGCTAACTACTAAAAAGATGAATAAAAACCTAAAAAGGGACCAATATATCCTTATATTAATTTGACTGACAAAAGATGAAAAATGGTTAAGAATCTTTTGAGGTACGGTGGATTTAAAAAGTAAATCACATTCTCTTATGATCTATTCTTGTACGCCGTGCAGTAAGGAGCAAAAAGTGAATGCTTCTACCAGCTTTTGGTTTTTTGGTAATATTTATAAGTTCTCTGGACATTTCAGTCCTTAAAAAAAATAATTTATTCCAAAAATACCCTCACATCGCAAATTCTCTCCTCCACATCGGAAACCACCCCTCCCATTCAAAATCCTCCTCCTCCCCTTCGGCTACACAGAAGAAGTGCGCACTTTCTCTTTCTACAACATCCACTTTTCAACTTTTTCTGCATTTTATCAATTCTAAAAAAGCAAAAGTTTTTTTGAAAACACTACTCATACGTAGGTAATCAAACCCCCAAAATTTTTGTACCTACAAAGAAGGCGGCCTCACGTGTTCTGGACAGCAGAGCAATTGACAACTAATCACACAGTAACCTAAATTATCTCCTAAAATATTAATTATTATTATTAAATGCGTATTAATAATTAAGGAGTTAATTTCGGCTACATCACCACTATCATGCGCCGGATGCGTATGGCGTACTCCAGTTCTCGGTTTTCGATACATCGATCCCCTCCCCCCAGAACTGCAGAAGCATCTACAGACATGATCAACGGCGCTAACGTCTACCATACGCATCCGGCGCATCTTAGCAAACAGCTTCAGCCCCAAAATTAAAAAAAAAAAAAAAAAAAAAAAATACCGATCCTGAAAACATCTAACTAAAGGTTGGATTACCTGAATCGACTGGAATAAGATCTAAACACAGCGGAGCTAAGAATTAACATACGAAGTGGGGAGTACGGATTTGATGATCTAACCTTCCTGTAAGTGGTGCCGTCCTCCTCGACGATCCAACCAGCTTCGTTGCAGAGAGCTTTCAGGACCTCGTTGTTGTCACAGTGCTTGGGGAGCTTGTAGTTTCCGTACATCCTCAATCCGGAGAAGATCTTCGCGGCGATCGCACGGCGGCGACGCTCCCTCCGCTTGTTGTTCTCTCGCTCCTTCCATGTCGGCAGCCTCGTGCCCGATGTCATCAGCAGTCCAGTCCAGTACGTACTGAAATCGCCTCCTCCTGCGCTGCGCCAATTCTCAACCAAAGCCAAGGAAAAAAGGCTAATCGGCGATCCGGCCCGGTCGGAATCGGAACCGGATACAGGGGCCGGGTTTTGTGAGGGGAGTTGATAAACGCGGAGGAGATTTTGGTTATAGTGTGATTAGTGAAGAAAGAGAGAAAGATGAATAAAATTATAAATACGGGGAATGGAATAATTTTGGGACAGGGAGAAGGGGTGAAATAACGAAAATGCCACTGGAGTAATAATTTTGTATATCCTGGAAATGCGGGTCGTGCACGTGTTTAGCTCTTTCGAAGTGGGGACAAGTGTTGGAGATGGAATAGTAGTAGTTGCTAGGAAAGCAGCATTACACATTGGGCATTAGCTTTTTCGTATTATTTAATTTTTTATTATACATATACTATATAGTATATATTTTTTTATATAAAAAAAAATCACTTACGAGAATTTAATTTATATGAGTAAATTTCACTTTCGTAAAAATAATTCCCAAATTATAAATCGCATAATAATAATAATAATAATAATAATAATAATAATAATAATAATAATAATAATAATAATAATAATAATAATAATAATAAATAATAGAAATTTGCATTTTATGGTAAAAATAGCAGACCACGCGGACAAAACAACTGGCTGTGGGGCCACCGTGTCGTTGTCCTATATTCAACTGCTTGCACGTGCGCCGCGGATTAGGACTCTAAAAAATACATTAACCCAATTGGATTATCAAACTTGTGTCCAAAGACAGGCTTTAGTGTGGGGCCTGCTTATTTTCCTCACTAATACATGTGGGGTATCTGAATTTTATATATTTTATAGTGGTTTGATAATTAATAATGTATATATAATTTGGGTCGCTTCGGTCCTACACCCGGTGATAAACACTGGGTGGGTCTCCTGCTGCCACGTGTTCTTTTTTATATTTTTCTAAAACCTCTAAAAGTAAACCCTAGCGGGGAATCTATTATAAAATACAAAAAAGAGACACGTGGCAGTAGAAGACCCACCCGGTGTTTATCACCGGGTGTAGGGTCGATCAAATATATAATTTGTAGTCATAAATGAAATTATATAAATTATTTGCATGAAATATCTGTTGATGGGAAATGTAGGCTAGGATAAGTAAACAGTAAATGGGCCATGAAAATATAGTGGAGGCCCGCTTGACAATAAATAGAGATAGATGGGCCACGTGATATAAGATATGCTTGCCATCTACTAGGCATCCATTACACGCTTTTACTGTTTGCTGGAAGCCCAATTATTATCTTCATATATTAAACTGTTTCAACATGGAGAGAAATATTATTAATTATTGTAACTCAACGGTGTATTAGCTAGCAGACTTGAATCTAAGAGCAAGTCCAATGGTAGGTATTAAAATGAGACATCTAATCTAAACCCTTAATTGATGTTTGAAATAATACTTTGGTACTTCGAAAAACCTTATATTCTCCAACTCATAGGAATCAAATAAATTATTTTATTTTTAAAAATGTATTAAACATAAATTAATAGATATATTTGGTCCCTATTCCATAGGAATACGTTAGAAAATTTATTCTTTCCACGTTGAAATTGCAGTTCCTAATTTCTAGAATATTTGATACTTGGTTTTTTTGGTGCATGTTTGCACCTCTAGAAGAACTACTCCTTTAGTGCTTTCGTTGGAAAAGAAATTTTAAGTTTTGGAAATCAAATTGGAAGTTTTATCATTTAATAATACTCCATTTGATTCTCTCATTGGAGTTGCTCTAACGTAGTTGAATTTTATCCAGTAAATTTCATCGTAGTGTGTATAAATTAAATTCCTTACTATATCTATATTCTATACACACACCAAAAGGAATAAGGTTTCAATAAAAACAAAATCAATTATTGGAAATTGTTTCGTCGAAATTGTTCTAAAAAGTCATTCCTCGTGAGAATAGAATAAATTACTGCACGAGAACACAGCAACATTTGTTCAACAAGATATCAATTTATTAATCAATCCAAATTATTAATCAACCATTGATGGAATGAATGAATTATATGTGTTATTAATTTGATGTTTATTTAATTATTCAGATTGAAGTTGAATTTCTCCTAATTTTTTGGTATTAAACCCCTTGTTACAACATTTTCAATGAAACTTTTAGAATCAATTAATTTAAATAAATACAAAAAAATTGAAACGTCAAAAACGAGATTTGACGTCATTTTTCTTTGTGGAATAGAAACTTCAAAAGCGCGTCGAAGATTCCACAAACACGCTTTCCCCTTCTCCAATCAAACATAAACAATTAATTAAGCATCAAAGCCAAAAATTTCCAAACCGCTGACGTCACCATGATAAAAAAAATCCCCAAAATTCAAATCAAATCCAATTGAAAATCGAACGCATGCAGTGATAAAAAAAAAAACATTACGTGGACATCCAACGACGCCGTTTGGGGTCGGTCAACGCATCCTTAATTCATTAGATCAAAAGAGGTTTAGTTATAACAACACTCGCATAATCACATGTCTTGAATTTGCATCGTGGCCCTTCAATTCTCAATCACAGTATATTTCAGCCCTATTTTTGTCAGTGCAGGGTATATTGTAAAAAACTCTGGGGTGGTTTCAGCATTTTGTAAAGGTTGAGGGCCGTCATTTAGAAAGAAAATAAAATTATTTTTATGACGGATCTTCTCTCACCATTCCCAAATGTGAAAGCCCTAGAAAACTCCACCTCGATTTCTGAAAATTCCATCCTCCCTAATATATAAATAAACCCTAATCCGTACAAACCAACGAAGCTACCGTTGAGCTTCTGAGCATTTTCGCTGCGATCATAATTCTTTGATTCATTCTCTCTCTCAGGTAATTCGTCAAACACATTCATATATATGCAAATCCGTACGCGTTTGAGTCCGTACATAAATTGCATGACGCTTTATTTGGTTGTCTGTCTCGTATTTGTATGCTTTTGCTTGAAGGTTCGTGCTATTTTACTGTTGCAACGACTTTGATGTGTGCGAGTAGTTAAATTTTAATTTTAATTTTTTGGGACTTCTGATTCTAATTTTGATACTCTTGTTCTTTTGATATAAATGCAGGGTATTTGTTGCTCATGCTGAGAGGGTTTGAATTTGTGGGTTTAATCTTATTGGTAAGAGATTGGGTTAAGAAATCAAATTAGCAGTATTTTGAAGCGAAGAAGAAAGATGAGATCTTTATGCTTTCTGGGATTTTAATACAGTGTAGGAACACTGAATTGTTCTATTAAGCATAAAGATATTAATTTGATGCCGTACGGAAGTTCGACGGGAAATCTAGTGGTAGGAGTCGAATAAAAGATTTTGTCGATTTTGTTTTGTCTTCATGTTTGGGGCTGAGGAGAAATTTTAGGGAAATAATATTTGATTTCGAATAAATTTTTATGATGATGGATGAAGCTCAGTGCAGCTCTAACTCGTTGCCTCCTTTTCTCGCCAAGACATATGAGATGGTGGAAGATCCATCCTCCGACAGTGTTGTTTCCTGGAGTTGGAATAATAAAAGTTTCATTGTGTGGAATCCTCCAGAATTTTCAAGGGACCTGCTTCCCAGATTCTTTAAGCACAACAATTTTTCCAGCTTTATTAGGCAGCTCAATACATATGTGAGTAGTTTCTTTCATCTCAATTGCTTGAATAAATTTAGTGAAAGCGTGCTTTTAATAATAGCTTATCTTTGTTTGCTGCCTTTTTTTGCTTATTAGGGTTTCAGAAAAGTTGATCCCGAGCAGTGGGAATTTTCGAATGAGGATTTTGTTCGAGGGCAGCCCCACCTTTTGAAGAATATCCATAGGCGAAAGCCCGTTCACAGTCACTCGGCACCAAATTTGGCCTCGTTGCCTCCTCTTACAGAGATGGAAAGGAAATCATATAAGGAGGATATCGAAAAGCTGAGAAACGATAAAGAATCACTTCATGTGGAACTGCAGAGACACAAAGATGAGCAGCAATGTCTTAAATCGCAAATGAGGATTTTGAGTGAACGTGTGCAAAATGTGGAAAACCGACATTCAAATATGTTATCTTCTTTAGCCCAGACATTACACAAACCGGCTTCTTCGTTGGATCTTATGCCACAAGGGGAAGTTCATGATAGAAAGAGAAGATTTCCTGGAAATAGTTACTTATGCGAGGAAACCAATATGGAAGATAATAATAATAATAATAATAATAATAATAATAATAATCAGAGGGCTGCTTCTCAAAGATCAACGATTGAAAAGTTAGATGCTAATTCGCTCTTGAATTTCAACAAGGAGTTGTTGGAGCAGTTAGAGTCATCTTTGATGTTCTGGGAGAAAATTGTATTTGATGTTGGTGATGGTTTGGTGCAACGTAATTCATCCTCGGAGTTGGTTGAATCCACGAGCTGTGGGCCCAGTCCCAGCATATCTTACACCCAACTAGATCTTGATGTTGGAATCGACATGAATTCCGAACCTAAAACTGCTTTTGGGCTTGAGTTGCAACCTCGTACTGAAGAACAAGCAGTAGAGGTAGCAACCAATGTGAGAACAGGGGTCAATGACGTGTTTTGGGAGCAATTTCTTACGGAAAATCCTGGCTCGAATGATTCTTCTGAATTTCAGACAGGGCAGGCAGAAACAGAGAGCAAGAAAAATGAAAACAAACCAAGTGATCGTGGTATGTATTGGTGGAATATGAAGAGTGTAAATAACCTTGCAGAACAGTTGGGGCATCTTGCTCCAGCAGAGAGGACTTGATCGATGCTATTAGGTTTTATACTTTTTCCTTATTTAGAACGAATGCACTTTTTGGTGTCTTGTTCGGTTGTAAATTTAGAGATGAGTTGTTTGATGTGGCTCTGTAGATAGATATTTTGTGTATAAACTCCGCCTTCCTTGCACATATTATCATGTTGACGACCGTGAACTTTTCACTTTGTACACGTATTTGTTGTTAAATAGAGGGACGTTTTCCGAAAGTCTTTTTACTTTAATTTCGTGTTTTTTTTTTCTTGGCAAGTACTTATTCCTCAAAACATGCATTTTTACATATGAAAGACGAACTAACGGAAAGAGTCTTGAAAATGCATGTTATAAAAAGCATTATAATTACACGAACATCTTGTTTCCGAGGTTATTTAGGATGTATAGTATTATTTTCGTTAATACCCCTGCTAATCTCAAGCCATACCTGTTGGAATACCTTGATGATGAGGTTGTGGTATACGTCACTATTCAACGTAAGATAACTAACCAAGAGTTCTTCGAGCTCTTCAGGCCGTTGGATTCTTTTCTCGACAATCATCTCAACCATCGATTCTCTGAAGTCCTGTTGTGGGTTAAAAGAACACTTCCTTACAGCACAGCTATCGAAAACGGTCCTACTATCACCACCTTCTTGCTCCTTTGCTTCTCTCTTCTTGAACTTCTTTTTCACTTTCTTCTTCTCTTCCAACACTTTAATTCTGTTTTCCTTTTTTACTGAACAAGCTTTCGCTCTGTTTTGCTCAGTTTTTCTGCTACGAGATCCCCCGTTTTTCTCGATTTTCCCGGCTTCTGTCAGACTATCGTCTCGTCCCTCGAACTGTTTTGTACTTCGTTTGTGATCTTTTCTTGTTTGTGCTTCCATTTCTCTCGAACCGAAGCCCTTAAAACTTGAAATCGGAACTTTGAACTCATAATCAGAATCATACCAAATAGGGTTAGTTCCACTCGCATTGTCGTCTTCTGTTCTCGTCTCTTTACGAAACGAAAGCCTCAAATAAGCATCATCGTCACTGTCGTCATAGAATCTCGCTACTCTCCTACCAGCTTGCGGAAAATCTCGTTTACGTCTCTGTTGTTTCTTTGCTGGCTTAATCTCGGGGCCGACACTTTTTTGCTTCAACTTTGAAAACCAAGAAACTGGAAAAACACGACTGATTATCGGAGTACGAGATGGAGAAGATGATGATTTCTTTCTCCCCGGCTCCATATTTTATTTTTTAACAAGGAATGTGATGAATGGTTGTCTTAATGTTGTGTGATTTTTAAGGTTTTATAGAGGATATATTTAGTAGTAGGATTAGAATTTACCTATTTATTTCAAAAGAAAGGCCCGCCATAGATTTTGTAACCACTTTTTCCAACTTTATTCTATTTAACGCTTTTACTTTTTTTTTTTTTTTTTTTTTACTTTATTGAGAATTTTATTTGAGGAATTTTCGGATGTTAACGGTAGAGAACATATGAACAAAATCGAAATAACAAATATTTGTATCACAATTAACAAATTATATAAAATATATATAAATTTATTTTGTTAAACTAATTTAAATTTCAACAACATTTACTTTCCCGCCTTTGCTTTAACTACATAAACCAAGTTCACTAGCTCTCCCATTCTCGAACGTCTCGAAATACTGAAAGATGGTAGTAACAGCATGTAGAATTCCAGTTCCAGAACCAATCGCACCCATTGAATTAGGCAACACAGTCAATGCTCCGATGCACACTCGAGTAACAGTAAATTAATTGTAGATTGAATTCACATTTGAATCCATGGGAATTTATTAGGTGGTATTCATCTCGTAAAATCGTATCAAAATTTTGGTAATAAAGAAACTTTCATATCGAACACTAAACATAAAATTTTATATCGAATTTTTTTGAAGGCAATTATAATTATATTTTTATCTATTGTTTAAATTTATGATATGTAATTAATGAATCATAGTGTTGAATTAACATTATAAAAGTGAAATTCTGGTATTTGATAAATTTCAACTTATGAAAAAATTGGAAATCGATTTCGACCAAATCATATATTTGGTATTAGGTACGTGCCTATACTTTAGTTTCACACGGCTATCGTCAGTTGTACCGAAACGATGAACACACTCAAGATTCGTAAATTAAGTGCATAACGATCAATTTTATGGAACCGAATTAAGAATTTGTAAACCGACAATCTCGTGTGCATATAACGACACATTTACACTTGTTATTTTCTAAAATAACCAAAATTAGGATTTATTCCTTTAAATTAATTTGAGAATAATATTTGATTTTTAAATTAAAAATAATATCACGGAGTAATACGATTTATCAAACTCCAACTTAGGGGTGTAACCGTGTAAATGAGACGAGCCGGCTTGCGAGCTTCCGAAGCTTACTCGAGAAAAGCTCGCACTCGAGCTCGAAAAATCGAGCTCGAGCTCACGAGCCCGAGCTTTTCGACGAATCGAGCTAGAGCTTCATTTCAGTTGTTCAACAGCTCGCGAGCTTTACTTTTTCTCTATATTTTTAATACATATTAATAATATATAATGATGGATATTATTAATAATAAATAAAAAAAGAATAATATTACTTTTTTGATTGAAAAAATAAATTTGATGAATGGATTTTTGGTTGTGCCGAGCTCGAGTTCGGGCTCGTTTCGTATACCTTTTGCCTTATACTTAATGTTTTTCGCTTCAGGTGTAATTGTGAAGAAAAAACTCTGAGTTTCTGTGATAGTTACAATTTATGTGCTTAAACATCAGATCTAAGTAATTTTGGTGTTTAGGTGTGTCGAATTTTAGATTTATGTAAGTCTGGCGTAGCATAAATGTTGATTGCGTAAGTGTGTTAGTGCGTGAGTGCGTGCGTGCGTGTGTGTGCTTACGTGTGTGCATATGTGCGCGCGTGTAGACACGGCCGGTTCATGCCGGTTCACGGTTCATACCGGTTCACGGTTCATACCGGTTCACGGCTCACTTTTTTCGGAATCGGAACCGGCCTGTAATATGCACGGTTCGGCGGGCCGGGTCGGACCGCCGGTTCGGGCCGGTTCCGGGCCTATCCGGGTAGGCCCGGAATATTTGATTTTTTTTTTTAAATATTTGATGAATAAGTAAATTATAGGAAAAATTGGGGTGTGAGGATATTTATAGAAAAAAATGGGGGAGGGGGGTAATTAAAAAAAAAACAGACAACTGCCGGTTCACTGGCCGTTATTTGCTTTTTTTTTGAATTTTTTTGATTTTTTTTTTAAATCCGGGTGAACCGCCGAGCCAGCCCGGCGGTTCACGGTTCACCATTTCATAGAATCGGGCCCATCCCGGGGACGACGGACCGATTCCGAGCCCAAAATCGGCCCATAGCCGTGTCTACGGGCGTGTGTGTGTACGTAAGCCTAAGCTCTGAATGCGAGGAATTTTTTGAATTAATTATACAGATGTTGAAATATGCAACAATGAGGTCTAAGACTATTGATATTTACTTTATTTGAGGTTTTATTTAATTTTATATGATGCAGGTGTACTTGGTACTCTGTGTGGTCTTTGCAAATGCAGTTTTTGCTTTGTACGCTTTCTACTATCAACAGTACTCTCAGTTAGCTACATAACCATTTACTTGTTATACTATCAATAGTACACTCAGTTAGCTACATAGCAATTTACTTGTTCTTCTTACGGATCGTGTATCTAGTTTATTAATAGATTTTTGGATTTTCATTTAATTTGGTTTTTTCGACGTCTATCTTTAGAACGAGAAGGTTCTCCTCACGTGCATATGCTCGTATGTTGTTCCTTGCATTACTACTTGTTTCAGCAGATAAAGATTTCTTTACCGATCTTTTTCGACATCAATGCACGTATGTTGTTCCTTGCATTACTACTCGTTTCAACAGATAAAGATTTCTTTACCGATTTTTTTCGACTTTTATTGATGTTCGACTTCTATTGATGTGAAGATTGGCATCCTTGCATTACTACTCGTTTCAGCATGGATTCGGGATAAAGATGAAGATTTTTTTACCGATTTTTTTTGACTTTTATTGATGTGAATATTGGCATGTATTCTGATATTTATGTTATGTTGGATACTTGTCCTCTTTTATTATTTTTTAGAATAATATTTGATTTTTAAATTAAGAATAATATCATGATTTTATATTTTCATTTCCAATTAGCTCCTCTTCCCAATTAGCTCCTCTTCGAACTTAAGAAGATTGTATTGCTTGGATGTCTTGGATTTGTTGGATGCTTACAAATGAAGTGCCTACTCCTATTTATACTAGGCCACTTCTTAATGTACTGTAGAGATCTACTTGATCTAAGGGCTAGGAGTTTTTCTGCAAAGTATCTACAATGGAGAGTTCTATAAAGTTTTCTACAATCCTCTAAGAATCCCGGGCCTAACCCTATTTGGGCTTCTTTAACCTCCTAATCCAACGGAAATTGGCAAAGTATTGGACCGAAATTGGCTACCCGTGACACGACATGGTAGTTCTAGAAAGTTTTCTAGAATCCTCTAAGAATCCCTACTAACTCGAACCTAACTCTATTTGGGCTTCTTTAACCTCTTAATCCAAGAGAAACTGGCAAAGTATTGGACCAAAATTGGCTGCCCGTGACACACATCCTACTTCCAGAGAGGACTCGGTACTCCTCCTAACTATATTTTATTTATTTATTTTTATCATCTTCATATCTTATGGATCAGGGGTTGAGTACATCCTCTCTGATCGAATTTTCGAGACTTTGCCTCCAGATGAGCAGAAGCTATGTGAGGCGAATGGAAACATGGTAAATAATTAATTACAACGAATTAATTCTATAGAACCAAAATAACATTCGAAATCCATGGAAAACTAGGGAATCCACCAGAAAATAGAGAAAACTCTAAAGATTTTATTAAAATTCCTCAAAATAAAGTCATAAGACAACTATTTATACTAATAAAACTGAAAACCCTAATTAAACTAACAAAATACTAAAAATTACGAAAAACGAAAAAAACGAGTTAGATGCTGATTCTAGTAGATCTCGTAATTTGTGGAACAACCCGACGAACTTTTAGGAGTCTAAACGACGTTGGATTGCTGAAATTTGACGTGATTCTAGAATATCAAGAAATATTTTTATTAACAAACATATTTCAAAACAACATTCAAACAAAAAGTCACCATATACTTTAATTAATAAAAAAAAAAAAAATCATTCGATTTAATTGAGACACCAACTGGGCAAAGTTTGTTAATTGTAACGGAAATATGATGTCAAATATCCTCACAAATTGTCTTCCAAACTCTTGTTTTTGTGAGTGGGATGCCTCAATTGTAGACTCTTATCATTTCCAGTTTGCTTAATTTATATTTCCTATTGATGTAAAAAAAAAAAAAAAAATTATACTTATTACCAATCTGTTTAAAAAATTTACCGATGTGTGGATTCAGAGAGCCGAAAAGCCCATTCAATATGTTAGAAAGGCCCATTAGTGAATAATATTCTGTTTTGATTTAGAGAGCAGAAAAGCCCATTGAGTCGTGGCCGATCAAATGGATATATAATTTACTCTTAATTTATATATTAATGAAAAACAAAAAAGAATATGAGATTCATCTCTCATCTCTATGTACAGCTGTCATATAGAGTTAGAGAGAGAGGAGAGATGGAGGGAAAGAGAGAGAAAGTCGTGCTCACGCAAAAACTAAAATCAATTTGACTATTTGTCGTTGTCCCCCCCTCTCTCTCTCTCTCTCTCTCTAAAAGTTGCCTAGTATTTTTGTTCCCGGGTTTCTACTTCACTTCAATCTTCGAATTGGGGGCACTGGAAATCTTTGACCGGAGAAAAATCTTCGTAGCTCCCCGGCATGGGTTGCGCCGGATCGCGGGATAAAGTCGATGGTATTCATTTTTCTTTTGCGTTATTTGACTCCACTTTGACTCTTATTTCTTCAATTTCAGCTCTCAATTATTGGTGAAGATGTTGTTGTTGGGGGCAAATTCATTTTATTTCCGATTGAATTGTGGAATATTATTTTGTATCTCTTTTCTCAGAATTAGTTCTATGTATCTGATTATGAGATGACTAGTTTTCTTCTTCTTGTGTGTGTGTTTATGTGTGTGTGTCAACATTTTAGGTTTGTAGCAATTAGCATTATTACCTTCCGATGAGGGGACTATGTATTTTTTTTTCCTTGCCGTTTCATTTAATTGTATTACTGTGATCGATTACACTCGAGTTCTGTAGATTCGTTTCGAACCGTTTTTCTGTTTTATAATGAGAATGTCTACAGTATGTCTTGACAAAGATCTTAAAAATTCATGAACTGTGGTTGATGTCAATGTTCTCCGTAGAGCTTTGATCCGGTCCTGCAAACACGAATTTTCACGAGATTGTTTATTATTCGGGTTTATACTCGGTTTTCAATTACTGCTATGTCATTTAGAGTTTGGATCTTGGTGATTCTTCCTTCAGTTTGTAGACTCCGAGGAGCTTCATTACGTTGGCCATAAGCTTCTTTCTGGTTTCCATTGGATATTCATCTGTCATAAGTTAGTTTGATGAAGTGTTTAATATAGATTTTCCATACTTTCTGGAGTTTGTAAGGATTCTTATGTGTCAAATTTGATATGCTTGTTGTATTCTGACTGAATGTCCACTTCATAAAAAAAGTTGCCAAAATGAGTGATTAGGCAATGGAGAAAAACGTACACCCAAATGATTATGTTTAATGATTTTTAGGTATCCTTTCATTTATATATATATACATTGTTCTTGTTTTTGTGGGCGTGAAAAAATATTGAGAAGAAAACATTACCATATGCATTTGAATTGCTATCGATTCGCGAAAGTGGCAACTGAAATGCTCATTTACCTAGTGGTTGACATTATGCGTTGATCTGGAATAACAGTAATCGGTGAAGCAATTGCTCTGCACCCGTTAAAACGCTTTCGTTATTAGATATAATTTGAGTTCGGGATTCAACGGATATAGATAGAAAAGAACAAACTGGAGATATTTTCCATTTACCCTTGGTAAAGAAAGTCATGGTAAGATGATATGACATAAGTTTTTACAAACACGGACCTTAGATTTCTTCTTATGCAACTTACGATCGATTAAATTAACCTTTTTTTGCTTGCCTGAATTGTGATAATTGATCCCTAAGTGTTGCATCGCTTTATCTGCCAGAAACTTCGAAGAAGATACAGAAACCTAAGGCATGGAAGCACTCTGAAGCAATAACAAGGGCGCAACTAACACAGATGCGTGAGGAGTTCTGGGACACTGCTCCCCACTATGGTGGTCGGAAAGGTATCTTAACTAAGATACCTTTTTTCAGTGCTGTAATAATGCTACATGTTCTTGAATTGTTCTGCATTAAGCTATATACCGAATCCCCCTTCTAACTTTGGAACACTTAGTTAAATTATGAGTTTAACGATGCCAAACTTATATGATAAGTTTCGTTATTGTCATAAATTGTCTTCATTTTTTCTGATGGATTGACGACCCTATTGGAGCTATGCAGTAAACAAGGCATTCTATGTATCTGTCTAGAAATAGGACGAACATTTGCTATTAATCGACCTTTCACTTTCTTTTGTTGTTTCTGTGTATCCGAAATATCTGTTCTGTTTGTGAAGAAGTTCAAATGAGGTTCGGTTATAGTTTTTTTCTATACGTACAAATTGTATTCATTTCTTTTTAATTTAGGAATAATAATTGTGCTGTTCCGTTTTATTTATTTTTTCATTGTCGTCAGAGATCTGGGATGCTCTCCGAGCTGCAGCAGAGGCTGATTTGACCCTTGCACAAGCAATTGTGGATGGTGCTGGAGTTATCGTTCAAAATCCCGACTTAACAATCTGCTACGACGAGAGAGGTTCGTACTCGAATTTTGCTTCTTCAATAAAATATGTGGTTCCGGTATATCTATCTATATGCTAAATCGAAGACGTGATTTGCAGGTGCCAAGTACGAATTACCCAAGTATGTTTTGAGTGAGCCGATAAATTTGATATAGGCGTGACCGTTGAAACGGGCTGTTATGTATGTGTGTGTGGAGACTGTATATTGTGTAAATTGGTCTCATTGATGTTTTGTTTCTGAAGCTTTTTCGCATTCAATACTTGATGATCAAACAAAATGAATATGTAGTTCAATATTGCACTTTGGGGATCTTAAACTTTGATGTTGAAAACGACGTAGTTTCATCTCTATCTGGTAATTCCAGAAACTATATATTATCAACGACAAATAGTATTTCCGATATGATTATTATTTTTCTTCGGTATATACCAAACGCGTTTTTGGGGTAAGTTGAAAAGCGTTTTATGTGTATGGAAAGAACTTACCGAATTAATATTATTGTTATTAAATTAATAATAATATTGAAAAAATATTACTTAAAGGAGAAGCATTGAAAGCTGAGTAGGGCCTTGGCCACCGCTGTTTTGGCGGCGTTTGCGGTGGCGCTAATCAATATCAGAGCTAGCCTGGCTGGCTGACAGCTGGATCAAAATCCACGTCGGCGATAGACGCAAAGGATAGCTGTGACGTGGCGGCTAACAAGTTGGGCCAAAAGTCCGTGCACCAGCTGCACCGTTTATATGCAATAATTGGGCACCGTTTTTATTAGGTTTGACTGGAAATTCAATTACGTGGCGTGATTTAAACGCTCCGCTTCTTTTTCCCGCCGTGTTGGTTTCTTCACGTCGACGATGGAGGAGAAAAAAATAAAATAAATAATACATACATATATATATTATAAAATATATATATATAAAAGATGCATAGGGTTCTCTGAAAGAAAAGAGGGAGTCTTAAATGAGCAATAAAAGTTGGCATGAACCGAGGAGTGAAGAGGTGGGAATCACTTGAGATTAGGGCTTTCATCATTGTTTTTATTTTTAATTTATTTATAATATATATATATATATATATATATATATATATATAATTTTAGTCCACTATTGAAATATAGAGTTGGAATATAATTTTTTTTCTGTAATTATTTAAATATATTGCACATAGAGAAGTTAGTAGAATTCCTGTGCTCAAATAGTCAATCAACCAAAGGGCAAAAATGTAAATCTCTACCAGCTAAACTTAAAACGGACAATCACACAAGGTTAAAAGCTGTCAATGTGTAGCTTTTTTCCCCCTTTGGTCAACGATGGAATTAATTACAATAATCCTTTTTTTTTTCTTCTTCGCTTTAATTAATTGGGAAAAAAGAAATAAAAGTTGGTCAACGCTCATTAAGGAAAGTGCCAAAACTCTATCTCAAAAACTCAAAAGCCCATCAATTTAATTTTCGAAAAAGATGAGGCATTTCTTTTCACCTAATTTTTTTATTCCTCAATTAAATAATTAAATAAGTATACTTTAATAATAAGTACTCCTTAATTCACAGAATTATCATAGTACAAAATGAATGGACAGAAATCTTTTATACCAGTCAAATAGATAATTACCCACGTAACCCCACCCCCCACCACCATTGTCTGTGGGAACGTCACTTTCAAGCAGCCTGCATTTATTTATTTATTTTAGAGAGAGAAAAATTTAATAAATACAGTGTTGAAAATTCAGTAAATCCAATGTTAATCAAGAATTTACCAGATAAAAATCCAATCTTTGCACGCGGATTCATAACCCACAGTATTATTTTTTTTCTTTCTAATACCCTTAAAAAGGAAGCAGAGGAACACCAAACGATTCTCGTTACTTTCTGCAAACACAAATAATCGAATTTAAATTATTGAATTTTTTTTTTTTTTTCTCATTCGTACATTGATTGATAAGAATTTGTTAATTGTTTGTTTCCCTCGTCGTGATTCATGGCATCCGCGGCGATATTCTCCTCGTTGAGGCGGCGGAGATCGCCGTCACTGGAGGCGTTTGTGGCGCCGGTGGATCTATCATACGCCGCCGTTTTGGAGGCGTCGCGTGCTATTTCCAACGAGCTGGCGTCGTCGTTTTCAGGTACAAATAAAACGGCTCCATTTTTCCAGGGCAAGAACTCCAGATCCTTAATCCGGAAAATCCAGGTTGTTTCTGTGCTCCTGGATGGTTTTCGCGATGTAGGGTTCTCGCAATTTGCCCCCTCTTTGTTCTTGTGCTTGAAGGAGTTGTACCTCCTGCTTTACAGAACGAAAATCCTGATCGACTATATCAAAGGGTCGAGTAAGCTGTGGCTGTTGCTTCAGAGCCAGTCGATTTCAGGCCATTTTCATGACATGAATCAGGAAATCTCCACCCTTTTGGATGTTTTTCCTTTGCTGAATTTGTCCGAAGATGTTAAGGAACAAGTTGAATTGTTGCAGAAGCAATCAAGAAATTCGAAATTTTACATTGATGGGAATGAAGATTCACTCAGGTTGAAGCTTTACTATTTCCTGAATGAATTCGAGAATGGAAGAATCCCGGAAAGGAACGAACTTTACGCGTTTTTTGTGGAGAAGTTGGGGATTTGCAATGTGAAAAGTTGTAGGGTTGAGATTGAGTTCTTGGAGGAGCAGATTGTCAATCACGATGGAGATATCGAGCCTACGGCCTCGGTTCTCAACGGATTTGTGGCTTTGATACGGTACACTAGATTCTTACTGTTCAGCTTTGAGGACGAGGAAGGTGAATTGGGGAAGTGGAAACGGAAGCCGACGAAGAAAGGGCTGATCACTAAGGAGATTGCCGACACGTTTGTTACTATTCCGAAGGATTTCTGTTGTCCGATATCGTTGGATTTGATGCACGACCCGGTAATAATATCCACAGGGCAGACGTACGATCGTACGTCAATCACGAGATGGATGGAGGATGGGCATTCCAATTGCCCGAAGACGGGGCAGATGCTCGTTCATACTAAGCTGGTGCCTAACAGGGCTCTGAGGAATCTGATTCTGCAATGGTGTACGGCTAATTCTATTCCGTACGATCCGCCAGAGAATCCACACCATTCTTCCGAAAGTGCAGTTTCTTCCCTACTGAGCAAGGCCGCAATCGAAGCTACTAAAGCCACATCAGCGCTGCTCGTCGAACAGCTGGCGAACGGAACACCAAGAGCCAAGACTGTGGCTGCACGGGAGATTCGATGGCTTGCGAAATCCGGAAAGCAGAATCGAGCGTGCATAGCCGAAGCTGGAGCAATACCCCTTTTGAAGAATCTACTCTCGTCTCCGCACACCTTTGCGCAGGAGAATTCGGTGACCGCAATGTTAAACTTGTCGATTTACGATAAGAACAAAATCAGAATCATGGACGTGGAAGGGTGTTTGGGCGCGATTGTCGGAGTTTTGAGAAACGGGCACACAACCGAGGGAAAGGAAAACGCCGCGGCGACTTTGTTCAGTCTCTCGGCCGTTCACGACTACAAAAGACGAATAGCCCAAGAAAACGGGGCAATCGAAGCTTTGGCTGCGCTTTTGCGCGAAGGAACCCCCAGAGGGAAAAAAGATGCTGTGACAGCTTTATTCAATCTATCCACCCACGACGAGAATTGTGCAAGAATGATAGATTCGGGGGCTATACAAGCACTAATCGGAGCACTGGGATGTGAAGTGGTTTTCGAAGAAGCAGCGGGTGCATTGGCCTTGATCGCGAGGCAGTCGATAGGAGCTGAGGCGGTGGGGAAAGAGGAAATGGCGGTGGCGGGGTTGACTGAAGTGATGAGATGCGGCACTCCGAGGGCGAAAGAGAATGCAGTCGTGGCTTTGCTGGAATTGTGTCGGAGCGGTGGTGCTGCCGCCACCGAAAAGGTGGTGAAGGCGCCGGCACTGGCCAATCTACTGCATGGTTTGCTGTTCACCGGTACGAAACGAGCTAGGCGAAAAGCGGCATCACTTGCTAGAGTGGTCCAAAGGTGTGAGCATGCTTCCTTCCATTTTGGTGGCTTAGATGTGGGGCCTCGAGATATGAATTTCCCCATTTCAGTGCCTGTATTATAGTTGTCACCTTGTCCTCCATTTTTTTTTTATCTTTAATTACTCCCCATTTTTTTAATCTTTGATAGATAGAAAAAAGTTCTATTGGAATATGAATGTAAGGGAAGGAGGGTATAGACGTAATTTATTTGTTCGGACGAAAGGGCTTCGTTCATCCTATTCTGTTTCTGATGTACAGTGGATCTTGGATACAAATTCTTGAATTCTTGAATTTGTTGTCTGGAGATTTTAGTTGAATAAAGATGGAATTTTTCTCACCAGAAGTTCCTCTGCAGTCAGTGGTTTAAGCTTAGAAACTCTACTCTTCTCTCTATCTACATATTAGAAAATTACAGGCTTCACTTCTACAGACATGTTTTAAGATAAATAAGGCAGTAGATAAATATTAGAAAAAAAAAAAAAAAAAAAGAAACATTGGTATATAAACTAGTAAATAACTGTCAACTAACAGAAAGTGCTGAGTGAAGAAGATGATAGAGTTGAATTTTTAGGTCCACAATTCGAGGAGGCCGTCTTCCTCGACGTTAAGATCGTAGGGCTTCGCAGTCATAACTTCTTTCTGCATTGCAACATCTGATGCCATCATCTCTTCAAGTTCGACAATGGCTTTGGAATGGTGAGGGGCCAAAACCCCCTCTCCGTCTCCCCCTTGTTCGACATTCTCCATCACGTTCTTCCAAAACCCAGAATTTTCCGCATCTTCTTCTGGACTTTTTTCTTTCACCTCCTTTTCTTCGAGCTCCACTGTAAGTCCCGTGCTCGAGGAACCATCCAATCGTGCCTTCTCCGAGTCGTTTATGCATTGCATAAACTGCTTCAAAAAGTCGCCAATTTTCCCACCCCCTTCTTCGATATCTTCATCTCTCGTGTTCTTTTCCATATTCGCAAGCTGCTCTTTCATTTTTTCTAGAGTCTCTCCGAGCTTCTTGATTTTAAATTTCACGTCTTTTTGCTCGTTCATCACAGCCTCGAGCTTTGTCTTCATTGCATCATTCGTCAAATTGTCGTCTGTAGCAAAATGGGCCCGTTTTCTCTTGCCGAGTTGAGGTTGCTGGTTCCTTCTTTTGATGTCTTTGAGCAAATGCTTCTTCCCTGCTTGAAACAACTGATTCTCGTACTCGTATCTCTCCCAACACACCTTCTTGAATCCCTATTAACATTGAACGAAAACAAAAATAAGTTAATGTTCTAATCTACGTGTATGATGTGTAGAATTTGAAAAAGATTTTCAAAAGATTGACAAACTGACATAGTTGTTGAGCTGATAGATGAAGCTGGACAAATTGTTGGTCCTGAAAAGCCTTGGAAGAAACTCGGACGAAAATTTGTTATGATCCCATATTATGAAAGTGGTGCCAGTCGAATTCCATGATATGATCGAGTTAGTTTGTGGATCATCCACAACTTCGAAGGTCTTCACCAGAAACGGAGGAGGGGGCCTCAACCCCCATTGTTGCCCTGTTTCGCTCACAACTTCGTCTCCACCGACAACTCCTCCCACTCCACCACCGGGGCTTGCGTTTTCGGTTTGAGTACTTTTCAGCATCTGGGCTGTCTCAAAATCCATTCTTTTTTCTCCCCCAACTTTCTATATTTCAGTGATAGCGAGTTTTCGGAAGAAACAATCTGCATTTTATAGGTTTTGATGTGTCCCACCTTCATCGAAATCAGGACCCTTGATTTCTGTACTTTCAAATAAGATCAAAGGTGGAGGGCTAATGCACATTAAACCTGTGAGTAGAAGCATAATTCTACTCATTACTTCTTCATTCTCTACATCAATTCTTTACTTAACCATTTCTGGCATGGAATATATTCCACCTGTAAAGCAGGTACTTGCCGATAATGTAAGAAATGAGGATTAATAGCTGATAATCAACTTAAGAATATAAAAATATATAAATAGCAAGACCAGCAGACTAATGTTGTTCAGACACTTATCTTGGGAAATTACAAGCATGCTAAGCTAAAGAAGTTAATTACTACAACCTAATACTTAAATAGCTTCAAATATTTAACATAGGCATCAAGTTCCACATCAGTTACAGCACACACTAATTCTAACAAGAAGTAATTAAAACAGTTTCATCGGTACAAGAATGTCAAAATCAGTGACAGTCCATTCTGCTACTTGATTTGGATCTTTATAAATCTCAGCCCCCAAATCTATCGATGTCCATTTTCGCCTAGCTGGAGCAGTCCCTGGATCCTGCAAAAACCGACGTAGTTCATCTAACATTATTCACATTTTAATGACCTTATTCGATTCAAGAACTATTTATCTGCAATGAAATAACTCAAGAAAAGAAAACGGTATATAATATAACCTGGTAAAAGTAGAGGGATTGCGATAACCTCCCAACATCGAGAACCCAAGTCCTGGAATCTCCGATCCAACCCTCTCCTTTCTTGGTTGGATAACCGTAGTCGCCCCAAACAGGGTTCGGCAAAATCTGCAAAATCTCCTGTGGCTGAGGATTACTGTAAGGATCACACATCACATTAGGCTTCTCTGTGTACTCTCCGTTTCCAGGGGCACAGTACAGGTGATAGGCCTCGTACGGAAAACGAGCAGTATCGTTCCTATGAATGCGGGTCCCGTTTGGGAAAGTGTGGTACGGAGGGCACAGCTTGAGGTCATTGGCATTGCACCATGATGGCGTTTCTGGATTCAGTATCATTTCGCTGTAACGTGTCACGTCGGAAGTTACATCGCCGTCACATGATTGACCGTTGTTCTTCCAGCAACTTCCTATGTCCATCAAGTAGAATTGGCTGTTGGGGCCACCGCCCCTGATAACTTTCAGTGTGAATTTCACTTTGAAATCCGGTGATTCTGGTATCTGAATCGAAAATTAAAAAAGTAAAAAGTAAAAATAAGATGGCTTGAAAAGTTTTACGAAAAAAATGAGTTCTTGACAGAAAAAAATTACTCACTATTTTTAGCATTCCCCTTGTAGGATAGTGGTATCCACCAGAAAAGCCCGTTGTGGCATCCGATCTTAGGTAAAGCATCAGCCATGGATACTTGATTGAGGTCCTTAAAACATGGTGAAAAATCCAACTCCCTTTTCCAAGTTTCTTCTCCCAAGTGACGGAATGGTACGAGATATTATTGCCCCCCATCATTTCATTGCTAAAATCAGCATCCAAATCCCACGAGCCGTAAAATCTTCCCTTGAGCGTATTCCGTTTCCTCCCTTGTAAAGTTGTGTAATTATGATAGATCAATGGCTGGTTCATGCAACCTTTACCGAAACAAGGAAACTGGTCAGGAGGGCCAAACGGGCCTACTTTATGCCCGTTTTTGGGGCATTTAGCGGCATACGTATCCATATTGCCACTCTTGAGCATGATCATCCAGAATTGCCATGGATTCGGTTTATCTTCAACTTGGCATTTACTTCCCAAATAGACTTCTTTTTCTGCTGCATAGAGATCGACATTGTCGAGCGCCTCTTGCTTCACTCCCGCAAATGGTTGCCCCGCCCCAAGCCTGTTTTCCTTTTCTGTAACTCGGTGGACTAACATGTACGGCACTTTATTGCAGAGCGAGCACCGATCTTCTCCTGTAGACCACAAAAACCGATACGAAGAAGCTCAATACATCGACAATTCGCAACGATAAAAAAGAAAGAATCATTTTCACAAGCAATAATGTTTCTTGATCTTAGTCATAATACCTGGCTGAGGAGAAGCTTTATATACATCAAAGCAATCAGCAGCTCTAGGACTCCCCATTTGAGGAGCTTCTTCTCCAACTTCATTACACTGATTCCAAGATTCTATTGCTAATCTAAGACCATCTCTTCTCATCCCGGAATCGCCTACCGCCGATACGTGCTCATTTTTTTCCGAACTAAGTGACACTACACTAGACAGAGAAGATACAATCAGAACCGCAAGAACTATGTAGCTGTCCGAGAGGACTTTACTTGGTGCCATCGATAACTCAAGCTGATTTTTGTGACGACAATGCCATAAAACCATGGTGAGAAGTTAATATAAAGACAAGGGTTCTTGAGGTATCTACATATTCTGCCACCCTAAGAACTATTCTTGGATAACTGAAATAGGTATGCAACTTCTGGTAGTTGGTATTTACAGTTGCCATAATTGGGTTTAGTTGCCAAGTTTGAACAGAAATCGCCCAACTGAATGGATCATTTAATCAAACAGGTGGCGTGCACTATATATGATCCCCCATTAATGCAATTTGGACAAGGATTAATGCAATTCTTGATGTCAAAGTAATACTAAAATCATGCCTGAAGCAAAAACCACATATATTCTTTCCTTAGAGATCTCATATTTCAGTTCACCCAAACCACTAAATTTATTGTTATTGTCATTTAAGAGGTTTCCCAAAACCAACTACATTGAGTAGGTCACCTGCTATCTCTGCTTTCAACAAAATTTGTAGAGAGAGAGAGAGAGGAGAGAGAGAGAGTAACAACATGTTGCTTTATAAAGCGTGAAGGAAGAGACATCATATTTTTTTTATTTTTTTTTTATTAAGTAATATAATATATTATTGCTTGCTGAAAAACAATACTGCGAATAATAAATATTATTAATTAATGTTTTAAAATAAAAAAGTCAAATTACAAACAAAAATATTCTGCTGTGTCGTGGAGGCTTGACTCGGTTTTTAACTGCCACGTCAGCTCCCCACCATTTCCCATTTCCCAATTTCCATTACTTTAATAAATCTCATGAAACCCCACACCCACCTCTCTCCTCTCTCTCTCTCTCTCTCTCACACACACACACACACACACACTTCTTCTGATCTCAAATTTTCAATTTCGAAGTGTTAACTCCAAAAACCTCTTCAAACCCTCACCGCATTTACAGAAACAGTCGAAGAAAAACAAAATATATTATCGAATTATCTTCAGAATTTCGCAACCATGAACATTTTCAGATTTGCCGGTGATATGACGCATTTGATCAGTATTTTAGTCCTCCTCCTTAAAGTGTACGCCACCAAATCGTGCTCAGGTTACGCATTTTCCCCTCAATTTGATGACTTATTTTGTTGCATTTAAGCTGCCCTATTATAGTTTAATTGATCCGAGTGACGCTGAACTTAACTTGTATTGGTTGAAATTTGCTGTTATTTGTTCATGTATACTGTTATCAGAATCTGGAATCGCATAGATTAGGGTTACGTTTTGTTGGCATAACGATGTTTGTATGGGTACTGAATGCACTTTATATTATTGCATTGCGCATATGGTGTCTAGCATATTAATTTGCAGCTCCGATTTTTCTTTTTTGGAAGTGTTCGTGGTGATGTAAATTGTTATTAATATTGAAAAACATGGTGGATTGGGAATTTGGGATATGCCTTCCATTTTGCATTGTGTTTCATTTGGACCTTTTTTCTGGTGGGATTAAAATCCATTTCCTGCTGCTCCTGATTTCATCTAAAATACAGTGCACACGCTTGTAGGTATGTTTACAATGTGGATTTTCATATGTATTTGTGAATATACATATGTCCATCATGTGAATATGCAGATGAGGGCCTGTAAGTTATTTGAGAGGCATGGTCTGCATAAAATGGGAAACCCGGTTTTTTAATATTGTCGTCTCTGGCATATAGCTATCGCTTTTCAAGTTTCTAAAATAGAATGCAGCCATACGTGTTTACCTTAACTCTGAAGTCTGAACTGTTTTCAAATAGAGTTCTACCAAATGGCCACATGTGACAGTTAGCTAGTTTTCATTAAATTGTTTTTTTTTTTGAGTTCTAATATGCTTCAATGGTAAATGGGTGCTTGAAGAATTCTGATGTATAATATAATAAATGCAACTAACGGCCTTATATTCTGATCAGGGATTTCCTTAAAGACTCAGGAATTGTACGGAATTGTCTTCTTGGCTCGGTACCTCGATTTGTTTACCGACTTCATTTCAGTCTATAACACAGTAATGAAACTGGTGTTCATTGGAAGCTCTTTGGCAATCGTATGGTGCATGAGGTTTCACCGAGTGGTGAAGCGATCCTATGACCGTGACGTGGACACATTTAGGCATTATTTTCTTGTTGGAGGTTGTTTTCTCTTGGCGCTTTTTGTTCATGAGAAGTTCTCGTTTCGAGAGGTCAGTTTAATCTCCATTATGGCCTTCTGTTAAATTTATAAGGAAATAAAAGGTGTGGCTGTGAGCATGATGCTTAATGTTGGATGTCTGGGAAGCTTACTTTTGATTCGGGAATTGCATATATTTGCTTATTCCATCTCAAAATTTTATCCCTTTTTTTTGGTTTTTATGATATACTCAATCTTACATCATATGCATGACTCTGCACTTTCACTCAGAACAAGAGTTGATTTCTTGTTGAAATTGTAACGAGATCTTTCCCATCTTTTAATATTGAAAATAAGATAATGCAGCAGTCTCACACCTAACCATTTAGCTTGTTGAGTTCTTGCAAAATTGGTTTTCAACATTTGATATTCTCTTAGAGTAATACTTGTCTTTAATTCTTCTGTCATTATTTACATCTTAACGTTATGGATACTGGTGGACTCGAGTATATGATATATATCGCTTCATTTGACTAAAATATCTTCCAGGTATTTTGGGCATTTTCAATATACTTGGAGGCAGTTGCAATCTTACCACAGTTGATACTATTGCAAAGAAGTGGAAATGTGGACAATCTGACCGGGCAATATGTACTATTTCTTGGGTAAGTTGATTTTCCTCTTTATCTGATATTCCGTAGAAAATATATTGCAAAAGAAAACATGATTTTATTTGGGCATATATTAGCATCGCGCTGAGTATATTAAATTGTGTTACATTCTATATAACGTCATTCATGTGGGAGATGGAGAATTAACAGGTGCTTTAGTTTGGGAAGAGAACTACAAAAAATCTAAAGGAAAACCCAAAAGAAAAATTTAAAGATTCAGTCTGTCCTGTACCTTCCAACCACATGCTTATTGTTGTTGTTTGCTCTTAGGTACTTATAATAACTTTGTTAGTTGTTACTTACTTTACTCAGTGTCAATGATTCACCAAATGCTTGCGTAATAAAGAAAGTGTCAAAACTTTGATGCATATATTATGTAATAAAGCCAACGATTTTTCTCTTTTTGTTTGGATGTATGACTTCAAATGAAATATATCTGAAGGCTCGATTACACATTTGCGGGCCTTTCAAAATCTCAAACCTCTCAGCTGGGGATTTAATATTTGAAAGTGGATAGTCTGTCTGTGATCTAAAGTCTATCCAAGACAATAATGTGGAAGTTTCTGTGCGATTAGTCGTAGATAACACATCCAGTATTTTAACTGATTATGTAAACTGAAATTTTCCATTTCCCGTCATTACCTTGAGAAAAATGTTGTATAAATTATGCATCCCAGAACTGCAAGGCAGTGAAAGTTAATGATGTTATTCGTTTTACAGGGCCTATCGAGGATTCTACATCCTGAATTGGATATACCGATATTTCACCGAAGATCAGTTCAGTCGATGGATTTGTAAGTCATCAAGAAGCTGGTTAAGTAACTCTTTTGTTTGATTTGATGTTTGTTTTGATCATATTTATTTTCTCCATGCAGCTTGTGTCTCTGGGCTTGTCCAAACAGCTCTTTATGCAGACTTTTTCTACTACTACTTCATTAGGTAATTACCCCCTAGCAATCAGAAGTCATCAATTTTCGATGTTATCAACTTATATCCAACATTAACATTCTTGTCTAATATTACAGCTGGAAAAACAACGCGAAACTGAAATTGCCAGCCTGAGATAGAACGAGATAGAGTGGTGGATAGATACAGCAGAGTCCTCATTTCTCTATTTATGTCCCATCTACATATCCGCAGCACCAAATCGTCGCCTATGAACTGATTAAAGTTTCTTATTAGTGGAATTGACGAGGTAGTCCAATATTTAGGAAAGGGAAATCGATGTTCGCAGATTACCACCTGGCTTTTGACATGTCCATATATATTATACAGTACATGTAAAAGGGCTTGAAAAGAAACTTTAAATTTGCAGGGAGTTTGTAATTCATTATGTAATCTCTTTTCGAGTGTGGGTTTGTGATTACGGGCAAGTGTTTGTCTGTAGTCTGTACCTGTCGGTTGTTTGTGCTCTCGTGTTGCTGTGTTTTCCGACTTCCGTAGGTAGTGAAATACGAGATAAAATGATTGATCATTACTGCTGCTATATGTAAACTATAACATAAGCCATAAATATTTGGAATAAAATAGAACATGCTGAAGACTACATTTGCATAAAACCGAATTTCGTGAGGACTCATATTCTAACTAAACTACTATCTAAATTCTAAACCCAATTTCCAGCCTATACAAATTAATCACCCTCCCTACCCTGTTATTTTCTTTATTGTTCCAAATTCTACCGTCTGCCCTTTTCGATCTCTAGCTTAATAAGTTCTACTATCTTTTTCTTTTTTTTTCTTTTTTTTTTTTATAATTATTATTAGTATTACTACTACTATATTGGAGTATTGATTTTGTTTTCTTGAACTAAATTTGTTATTACAATTTTTTTTTTTTTTTTATTTGAGCACGCTTGATAAAAATTCCATGGCCACGTTAGTGTGCAACTTTTGACGATGGAGACTAGAAAATTGTCCGTAGTCAAAATTAATGTCATCTGGTTTGCTAATATTATTCTATTGTTTTTGTGCAATGCAATTATTGTTATTATCTCTAGTGTAGGAGATTAGATTTGTCCGTTTAAGAATAGCCCTACTTAATAGGGCTCTTAATTTGTTAAGGTTTCTTAGTTTTGGATCATCTCTTTATTCTAGCTAATTACCTAATTTATAAGATTTGCTGTTAATGAAAATTACCTAACCTTCTGGATTCTAGCTATTTACCCTAAATTATCAGATTTGTTGTTATTAACTACATATACAATTAAACAATAAATCTTTCGTTGTTAAATAAAATTGCAGAATCTTGTGAAGTAAAAAAATAATGGGAGGAGGATTTAGAGCACTGCATCTGGTGAAACCGTTCCTTTCTTTCCTGCCGGAAGTTCGAAGCCCCGATAGGAAGATTCCGTTTCGAGAGAAGGTGACGTACACGGTTCTATCTCTCTTCATCTTCTTAGTATGCAGCCAGCTTCCTCTGTACGGCATTCACTCCACCACCGGTTCGGACCCTTTCTATTGGATTCGTGCTATCGTTATTTCTAGCCGCGGCTCCGTCATGGAGTTGGGAATCGCGCCGATCGTGACGTCGTCGTTAGTCGTCCAGTTCTTGTCGCAGATTGTTCACGTCGACAACAATGTTCGTGAGGATCGCGCACTGTCGTAAGAATCATAGGTTTTTTTTCGTTTTTTTCCAAATTTGAAATTTTGTATTTAATAATTTTTTTTTCGGTTGTATAGAATCGGTGCTCAGAAGCTTCTGGCAATCTTGATAGCGATCGGTCAGGCTGTCGGTTACATTCTGTCAGGAATGTACGGAAGTGTAGCTCTACTTGGTGTAGGGAATGCAGTTCTCATAATTCTTCAATTATGCTTTGCTGTTATCGTTATAATGTGCTTAGACGAGCTTCTCAATAAGGGTTACGGCCTCGGTTCCGGGATTTCCTTATTCATCGCTACCAATACCTGGTAACTAATTAAACATACAAATTTATTATGGTAAATGTGTATTAACAATAACCTTCAAAAAAAATTGATTGATTTTGCAGCGAAAACGTTATCTGGAAAGCGTTCAGCCCGACGACTATCAACACGGGGCGGGGCCCGGAGTTTGAGGGTGCAGTGATCGCCTTGTTCCATTTGCTTATAACAAAAACCGATAAAGTAGCTGCATTCAGAGAGGCGTTCTACCGACAGAATCTTCCGAATGTCAATAGTCTTCTTTCCACCGTACTTGTCGCCCTAATCGTGATTTACGTGCACGGCTTTCGAGTGGCGTTGCCTGTGAGATCCAGGAACGCGCGTGGCCAACAGGACTCTTACCCGATTAAGCTTTTCTCCAACTCGAATATGGCTATTATTCTTCAGTCTGCACTTGTGACCAATCTCAAAGGCATCTCTCAGTTGTTGTACACGAGATACGGTGGATATTTCTTGGTCAACTTGTTGGGGAAGTGGCAAGAATCTCGATATTCCGGTCAATCGGTTCCTGTAGGTGGACTCGCTTATTATATTACTGCTCCGTCAAGCTTAGCCGAAATGGCGGCAGATCCTTTTCATGCAGTTTTCTATATAGCATTCATGCTTACTGCATGTGCCATGCTTTCGAATTTATGGATGGAAGTTTCCGGATCTTCGGCCAAAGATATCGCCAAACAGCTCAAGGCAAGTTCGATTAATTAAACTCCGAATATTTTTATTTTTTTATAGGATTAATAATGTAATTTTTATTATGGAAATTTTCACAGGAACAACAAATGGTAATGCCGGGGCATAGGGATTCGACTTTGGAGAAGGAATTGAATCGGTATATTCCGACAGCTGCAGCTTTAGGAGGATTGTGCATCGGAGCGTTGACTGTGTTGGCTGATTCAACGGGTGCGATTGGTTCTGGAACCGGAATTCTACTTGCTGTTACTACCATCTTTCAGTATTTCGAGACGTTCGAGAAGGAGAAAGCACAGTGAACTTTGTGCTTTATTTGGCTTTTAAATACTTAGGTAGTTTTTTCGAATTGTATCACGAGAGATTTAGATTAATGAGAGAGATTATACTGTGGAAGTTTTGTAGTATGTTGAAAATTATATTGTGGATTTAAAATTAACTCTTAGCTTCAAAATTTGAATCATAGCATTATTCGGAACGCTATTTTCGTGGATATTGTCTTCGAATCGAATCACTTTTTCGAGAAATACGATCTTTACCAGCAAACTTGGCCTGTTCAAGATTTTGGATTTTTCTCAATTGTAAGATTCTAAAAATTCCAAAAGTTGAGGCATATGTATTGAGGAAATGGCTATATTTATTTACTATCTAAAATCATTTGCATATTTATTTAATTATCTAATTGCAGAATTGGTGTATATGTAGTTTTGGTTGACGTAAAAATGGAAATATGTAGAACTGTATTTGAAAATACTAAATAGTATAGCAGAAGCTGAGTTTATAAATTATTATAAATTATTATTATGATTGCAAATGCAGGCTTCATTCCCACGTTAAGTATGACCAACAATAATTAATCTTATCGCCTAACTATTTATTTCTAACATGGTAGGCCCAAGCCCAACTATTTTTTTTTTGACATGCAATTAATTTGTTGATACAATTTAAATTATGTACTAAACAAATATTTATTTAATAAAATAATAAATTAAAAAAAAAAAAAAAAAAGATCGACGACCACCGAGTCTTAATTTATACAAAAGGAAGATGAAATGAAACCATCATATCTATTCATTGGTTCATAGGCCATGCCACATAATTTCAATTATTGACACACTTTTTTTCTTTTTTCCTAAAATAAACAATCTGCTAATGATGTCTAGAGAGAGAAACAATGTACTAATCCTAACTTTTAAGTATGACCCACCAAACAATTGAACAAATCCCAAGTGAACAAACTCCAAAAACAACTTTAGTTGTTTAAATTTTTTATTTTCATACTATATAATATAGCCAAGCCACCTTGTAATTTATCAAGAAACGTTACACAATTAGATTTTGGATCTTACTTTAATCAGAAAATCTGCAGAATTATATATATTGTGGCAAAAACAATTTGCTCAACTGAATAATTGATATATATATATATATACATATATATAATTGTGGCAAAAACAATAATATATGTGCAAAGAAAATGACAAGTTCAATAATGGAAATGGAAACTTTTCCATAAAATCTGACTTTGAATGTTTGTAACTTTCTTCCTGAAAAAATAAATATGGACCATTTTACTGACATAATGTAAATAAGTAATTAAATAAAAATAAATCAAAGTGGGACTACGTGATACATCACTTTCACCAATTGTCTGTTTTTTTTGTAAATATTACATGCATGCACTGTAATATGTTGAATTTTAACTTGTTATTACATCACATTACTATTTATTTAGCTAGTTAATTAAAAATTTAAAATTAAAAAGAAAATCATTAATGACAAATCAGAAACAGGAGTTGTTGTTGTTGTTGCCAGATAGGTAGATGATTCCTCGGCTTTGTCAAATTATAAATGGTCCTTCAGAGTTAAGTATGAGAATGATTAATCATTAATTCTTACTTAAGTATTCCTAATAAAATAATTATGAATCTTTCTCCATAATGCTTCGCTTCCATTAATTATATTATTTCTACAACAAAACTAATAATGTATAATAATGTTTTATTATACCTACTTGCTACACTCATGGCCCACAAAATTATCACGTCTTCGTTGAAGCTCCCTTTACTTTATTTACATAAATAATATACTCACCTAGTCAAGTAATTTGTCAATAATACCACCTAATTAAGAACGTTCAACATTTAATTGAAAAATAAAAATACCCCATAAACAATTACACGTCACTATTATTATTATTATTATTATTATTATTATTATTATTATTATTATTATTATTATTATTATTATTATTATTATTATTATTATTATTATTATTATGATGATGATGAGATTATTTTGATTCAACTTGAATCCATCGTTATCAGAACACGATTGCAGAATTTACAATTGTCAGATCTTTTTACACCCATAAAATCAAGAACCATGCTTGCACCCTTCCTAAGAATTTCCCCTGAAATCATGAAAATACACATGAAATAATAATGATATAATTATAATAATAATAATAATAATGGTGATAGCAAATATTTAACCATGTAAAATAATCTACAAGACAACATCTCCTCACACCTTAAATGTAATAGATACAAAAAAAGCTAAATCTGTAATGTGAATTAAGAATAAATTAATGATTAATTGCTCCCATGCACAGTCAAAACTAGGAATTTATTTAGGGATTATTCACAAACACCCCTCACTAGCCTTCTCCAATTACAAGGAGTCCAAAAAAAAATCTTATTTTTATGATAAATCCAAAATATTTTTAATTAATGAAAATTAATATAGTTTCACAATTATACCCTTTTTTCTACATAATCTTTTATTTAATATTAATTTATAATTTCCATCCACACTATCAAACCCTAAGTTGTCGTTTTAATTTCTATTTCTCCCAGCCATCTTCTCTATCTATCGTCACTGCCCCTTCTCTTCATTCTCCATTGCAGCCACCGCCCTATCCTCTCTCTCCATCGCTCACCGTGCGTCCGCCGCCGCCGCAGCTCCTATTTCTATTTCTATTTAATCATTGATGCTTGGACCAGGCTCGTTTTTAAGGATGGCTCAGTGCTTTCTTTGCAACCAATTCAATTGCTTCAGTGGCCACACCACGTCATTCTTCAATAACACAGTTTTTTGTAGTTTTCTTTTTCCTTTTTACTTTTTTTTCATATAAAAATATTGTTTTGTACAATTGTTATTTTTAATATTGCACCTTGGATAATTTTTCTTGTATAAAATTTTGGCATTGGGACTATCCATGGCAAGCTTCATAAATTAGTCATATTGGTGCTATATTTGCATAAATCTCTTGAAACAGAAAATTAATGAGGAAACAACAATTATGATTAAAAAGAAGACACGATGGTGTGACAACAAGGTTTGCTTTTGAAAATTGGTTTTCATTTGCTAATTATTTTTTTTCTTATTCAGATTGATATAGCCACCCTTGTCGGCCTTGTTGGTGGTGGTGTATTGACTTGCACTTTTTCATGGACGTAGTAGTGGTTTATGTTTCAAATAGTGGATTTTCGATGAGTGGATTTACGAATTGTGGATTTACGAAGAGTGAATTTACATTTATTTTTGTTTGTTATATAGTTGTTTATACGAAGTGGTTTTCATAATGCCAGACTTTGTCTTTGATAAATTTATAGTGATTTTCAACAATTTTATAGTGGTTTTTAATAACTTTTGTACATATATTTATATAATTGTATATACAGAGTGGTTTTTATGTTGACATAGTTGTTATACAGAGTGGTTTTCAAGTTTACATAGTTGTTATACAGAGTAGTTTTCATGTTAAATAACTGTTATACGTAGTGGTTTTCATGTTTATATAGCTGTTTATACAGAGTGGTTTTCATGTATATATAGAGTGGTTTTTATTTAAAAAAATTGGAAAGGAAAAAAAAAACCATTTAAAAAAAAATAAGAAAAAATGAAAACCACGAAAAAACAAAAATAAAACTATTTTTTTAATTTAAAATAAAAAACATGAAAAAATATAAATAAGAAAAAAAAAACAATTTAAAACAAAAAACCAAAAAAAATAAAAGAAATAAAATAAGAACGTCTTCAACCGTGCTGTGGGGCATTGAAGAGGGGCGGGTGGTTTTCTGCAATCTGATCTTGGGATTGATTTTGGTTTTGATTTATTTTTGGGCGGGATTTGGTATTAATTTACCATAATATTTAGTTTAATAATTATACTAATAAGTGAGGGTATATATGGGTTGTCAAGTCCAATGGAGCATATTCCCCCATTTATTTATAATATCTGCATCATTATAAAATAATATTTTTTTGAAATGGAAATGAAATGAATTTTTCACTAAATTAAAATCTTAAGTCTTCTCCAAAAGTAGTAAGTCAATCCCCTATAATAAATAATAATAATTGTTTTTCCTAATTTCTTTATGATTTTTCCCGCCAATTTAGAAAATTGCTTTTAACTAACCCCAAAAATCTGTGCCTTAAACCACAGAGTCAAATCAGTGTCTTGTTCCCCTGCATCCCTTTTGTCCTTCTTCTCTTTCATAGTCACAGCCACCATCATCAATTTTTTTCCTCTTTTCTTTTTTTTTTTTCCTTTTTCTGTGAATCAAAACTTCAGTATTTCAGAAATACATTTCTTCTTTTTCCCGATTCATTAAAAAAAAAAAAGAAAAAAAAAACCTCGTACTCTGTAATGGATTCAGCTCGGCCAAACAAAACCAGCAGCAGAATAGCGAAAACATTTCAGAAAGTGATACACCTCAAAACCGCCACCAGAAATAACCGCTCAAGAAACCCTGGATTTTGCCTCCTGATTCCCCAAGAAAAGCTCAGATGCTGCGAATCTCACCTCCAGTTCGAGACGGAAGACGCGGAAGAAGCCAGGGAGGAGTTCAAGAACCGCGCTGCAATGGCGGCCTTCGTCGCCAAGCTCTTCGCCACCGTCTCCGCCGTGAAAGCGGCGTACGCCGAGCTCCAGATGGCCCAGTTCCCCTACAGCGACGAGGCCGTACAGTCGGCTGACCAGTCCGTCGTCGACGAGCTGAAATCGCTCTCCGAGATGAAGTACAGCTTCCTGAAGAAGCAGATCGATTCGTCGCCGCCGCACGTGACGGTGATGCTGGCGGAGATTCGGGAGCAGCAGTCTCTGATGAAGACGTACGAGATCACCATGAAGAAAATGCAGGGCGAGATAGAGAACAAGGAGAACCAAATCTCCTCCCTTCAACAAAAATTACAGGAGATTGTTCAGAGCAACAAATCCCTGGAGAAGAAGATGAACGCCAGCGGCTCTTTCTCGATTCTCGACAACGTTAAATTCTCCGAAGTGAATCCTAAAGATTTCGTCTTGGTTCTGCACTACTGTCTGAGATCTGTCCGTAATTTTGTGAAGTTATTGATTCGAGAAATGGAGTCGGCCGATTGGGATATTGAAGCGGCGGCGAATTCTGCATTACAAAAAAACGACGTCGTTTTCGTGAAAAGGGATCATAAAGCTTTCGCCTTTGAATCATTTGTTTGCAGGGAGATTTTTGGTGGGTTCAACGATCCAGGGTTTTCCTTGCAGAGCAAGTCTTCTTTGTCCGGAGACAATATTCATCAGCGCCGCGTTTTCTTCTTTGAGGAATTCAAGAAATTGAGGTCTGTGGGGGTGGTTCATTTCCTGAAACGGAACCCTAATTCTCTGTTTGGGAAGTTTTTGAAATCGAAGTACCTTCAATTGGTGCACCCGAAGATGGAGTTTTCGTTTTCCGGGAATTTGAACCAGAGAAAAATGGTGAATTCCGGCGAGTTCCCGGAGACGGAGTTCTTCAAGTCGTTTGCTGAGATGGGGAGGAGGGTTTGGCTTCTGCACTGTCTGGCGTTTTCGTTTGGTCAGGAAGTCGGTATTTTTCAGGTGGAGCGGGATTCCAAATTCTCCGATGTGTATATGGAAAGCGTGACGGAGGACGTTTTCGCGGCGGCGGACGGTGGGTTTCGGGTGGCGTTCACGGTGGTGCCGGGGTTTGAAGTCGGTCGGACGGTGGTGCAGAGCCAGGTATATTTACTTCCAGCTAGAAATTAGAAATTAGAAGGATCCCTTTTCGGATGAGCTGGAACAGAAGCGGCGCGTGGGGAGGCGCGTGGGAATGGGTACCCCACAGTATATATAATTGTATTATATGGTGACCTGAAAGTGATGAGAAACAAAGTTCAAGTTCCAAGTTGAAAGAGCATGAAAGTGGAAAGTGGGCCCCCCACTGAATTAAATGAAGTGGATTAATTTGATTTTGGGCGGTGGACAAAGAAGGCTAATTAGGCGGTCCGAATGGGCCTTCCCGGCTTGCAAAAGCTGAGGTTGTGGGCCCCACTACACAATATAAAGTTGTATCCACTAATAAATAATTACTCCCTCTGTCTCATATTATATGTCTTTGTAGAGAGTTTTTTTTGTCCCAAATTATTTGTCATTTTACATTTTCTATTTTCAGTTTTACCCTCAATCACTCCTAATTACTCCCTCCTTCCCTTAATAGTTGTCACTTTTGTTTTGCTTGTTGCACACATATTAAAAAACTCAATAAATATGCATAGATAGAAGCAAAAAGTATAGTAAATCACTAAAATGCCCATGCCATGAATTAATTTTTAAATAATTATATTTCAATTAATTATGAGTGAAGAAGGGCAAAATTGAAAGATTGCAATTAATTATTCATTGGAATAGTAAAATGACAAATAATTTGAAATATGAAAAAATGGCAAAAGTGACAAATATTAAGGGAAGGAGGGAGTAATTAGTTGAGAATCAATTAATGTCGAGGATATTTTTGTAATTTTATCTGTTTTTACTATAATCTATGCACATTTATTGATTTTCTTAATATGTGCAAAACAACCCAAAACGACATTTAAATTGGGACGGAGGGAGTATTAATAAACCTATGCATCTGATTATTATTTTTAATTTATATGTAGATAAACCAAAACCCTTTTATCTTTTTTTTTTCTCCACATTTTATCATGGAAATTATATTCTTGTTAATTAATTAATTGGGGACTGTTCAATTGAAATTGTAGAGTAATGTACTAACTTAATAATGATGGTTAGTTTCAGAAATTAGCAAGAGGTATTTCAGTTGTGAATTATTGATTTATTGCTGTGCTGCTTGTAATAAATAATAAATAGGTAATAAATTTTCAATATTTTTGAATTGTGTGGCAAAACAAAATGGGCCACTTTATTTATTAAGGAGGCCCAGTTGTGTAATACCTTCAGCAGTAATAATTATTATTGGGCCCTTATGTGTAGTGTCTTTGGAAAAGGTGTACTCGAAGACAGCCTGCCTAAACGACGACGTTTCTAATGATGCTGGTTTGGAAGGGAGCGGCGTCGTTTAACTGAAGAGATTGGGCTTTGACTTAATTATTTCGACTGGCCCAATTGTTATTTATTTATGCCGGTTTATTATGTTTTGGACTTATGCTATTTTCAGTTATATGTTTCGTCTGTATATATATCATAATATGTACAGTGATTCAAATTAATATTAATTGAGCACAAATAAAATATGTTGTAAAAAGATGTAGTATATATTCTATATATATAATTATATATATACAACCTAGCGATTGATCAATCTCTATAAACTGATAATCATGCAACAAAATAACTCAAAAAAAAAAAATTAATATAATATATATATAGCTAGTGGCCGACGCCTGGGCTGGGAACGGAGGTGAGAATCCGGTCAACAGCGGCGAGGTGGCGGGGGGCGGTGACGTGGCCTTTCTTGGTGGGAGTTGAAGCAGGAACGTTACCCTTGGGAAGGGCAGTTAGATACAATAATGATCTGTCCGAAGAAGATGAAAAGCTGCGGGTGTTATGTTTGACGTTTACCAATAGCTTTCTGCCATGTGTCGAGGAGGAACACACTAATAAGGTATATAACATGATCATAACGCTCATCACAAATGCTATACCTTTTAAACCCATTATTTGTATATATGAATTATATATATATGGCAACAAATTTTGTTTTAGAGAGAGAAAGATCAGAGGAGAGAGAGAGAGATGGATATTATTTATGTGGATTTTTGGTGCGAGCTAGCTAGAGAGAAGAAGAGGAGGTATTAATGTATATATATATATAGAATTAATTAGTGAAAGACGACGATATTGTTAAAGAAAGGTTGTTGGGGGAAAAGTCAAATTTTAATTTAAGTCCTAATCTACACCTTAAAATTGAACGGACTTTAAAATTACACGTCAAATTTGCATGAAATTGAATGCACTTTTTTTTGCGTTACGTTGCAAGCAATATCTGTTCATTCTGTTCATTCACATTTACAATATATAATTAATATGTTTATTTTTTGGATATATATATATATATCTATATATATTTAATAGGAAAGATCGAAGTTGCGAAGATTTGAAGTCCAAGTACATGCAATAGAAATATTTAATTTTTTGGCGTGGCAAAGTCAAGACGATGCAAATTAAAAATGGTGGCACTAATAAGTAGAGAAGTGGTGTATTGTATGAACGCCACGTGGGGGGCTGAATTAATTAGGTGCTGTACGTGTAAGATAATTACAAACTGATTGGCGCGATTTTCTTACTACTTTCGTTGCATCGATCACTATAGTTTTGAATTTATAGGTTTTTAATTTGTTTGCCAATATTATATTTAACGTTATCGATGCATGTTTGCCCCTTGTCTACCAAAACAATAAAATCATGAATAAATTTAAAGGAGAGCCCTTCCTTTGTTGCTGGTTGTTAGCACATATACATGTCCAAATGCTGCCGTCACCCTACCCCATTCCCATCTCGATCTTCACCATGCATAAATACATCAAATCTTCTTCACAAACAAATACAATAATCGATCAACTGATTATATATATATATATATATATATACATATCATGAGCAGTGGGAAGATAAAGAAAGTGGTCTACTTGTCGGAATGAAAGAGATCTTAGATCAGATGTGATGTTTAGGGGAATACTGCATGTGTACATACATATATATATATATGCATGGCCATTGGCGCCCATTCACGTACTTTGTACTCAGATTAGGTGTCTGCTTTCAGACAGTATTTCCGCTCTTTCCTATATAAATATTTCTATATTGATGGTAACATCTTAACTACAATATATATAGGATATATTAATGTGTTTGGCGATTTTGCATTCTCACCTCAAATTTTCAATTAACCTAGCCTTCAAAATAAAACATTACATGTGCAAACATTATATAAATGGGTTTAAAAATTCTACGTTTGTGTAGCAATTAGTTGATCAAAAGTCAACGTCTTAAAAAGAAAAGTTGTATAATTAATTCCCTTGATAACACCCCCCCCCCCCCCCCCCCCCCCCCAAAGAAAAAAAGATCAAATACTATTATTGAGCTTGTATACTTGTGGTGAGTAGTTGTATAAATTTGGTTATAAAATTAAAATTCTACTGATCCAGCTGGAAAATCGTAAATATGGAAAGGGTTATATAATTGGGTTGGAAATTTCTTACAAGTACAAATATACATATTTTTTTAATTTTTAAAAGTATAATGCTTTTTTCAAAGGTTTTGTAAGTATAATATATTCTTAATTTTTTTTTTTGAAGTCATTTGTGTACAAATAAGAAGAATAATTAAAAATAATAATTCGAAAAATATTCGGTTAACCGTCGGACCGGACCAAAGGTTCATTCTAACATAACAATTGCAATTAGGAATGGGCACGTGCGGAAATTCATTAGTTGTAATTAGGCTGGAAATTAGAAAATATGAAAAGTCGTTAGAGTTGGGCTGCAAATTAATAACTGGGCTAAGAGCACGTGCCCAATTGTTAACGTCGGCGCATTCTATAAATTGATAGGCCCAAAACATAGAAGAAAGCGTTACTTTGTGAGTAGCGATTTTAGCTCAAATTGGAGAAGATGAAGTTGCAGGAACGGAAACACGTTTTCCAAGATTACGGCTTCTTTTTTTTCTCTCTTATTACAAGCGTGGTTCTAGTAAGTATGTGGTGCGCATCAACTCCACGGGCTTTCTACTTAATCAACAACCATGATAATTCATATGCACACATAATAATTAAACATGGAGTGTTGTTTCCTTTCTACTGTACACATTCCTTCTTCTTTCTCTCGCTCAAGAACCCTAAACTCTCAGGTAATCTTGTGTCTTCTTTTTATGTTTCTTTGGCGTCTGTTTATAATTAGATTGTTTGGTATCTTGTCTGAATTTTTGTTTTTATGATAAGTGTAAATCAAGACTCCTCAATTCACACTCAAAATCATATGATTTGATTAGGGTTTGGTGAAATGAAGAAGTGTGCAAAAAAGTTTTACCCTCAACATCAATAAGAATCATTTTCTAGCATAGTGTATGTATACTTGTATATATGTGTAATATATATTATTGTTTTTTTGTGCACAATTATGGAATTTGTAATGTTGAATAAATGTTGTGCCTTTAGCCTGCAATTTCATGTGGTGTTTGCAGGGTTTTTCGAATAGGTATCAATTGGTGCTGTCTTCTTCCCTTTCAAATCCTTTTCTCCACCACAAATTTAAGCCGTTTGGTTACGACAGAAATTTATCGTACCACAATAGAACCAAACGAGGCTCGATTCGGGCCGAAGCGGAAAAACAAGGTTGGGATGTAGGTAGATTTTTGAAAACATTGTATTTCTTTAACGGGCCTCCGTCTCCTGCAAAGGTTCACCTTCGTTCGATTCTTTCTTGATATTTTTTTGGAGCTGGAAGCTATGTATATGTATATAGTATACATATACTTATATGTACGATCTGACAGTTTTTCATTTATATTTGAAGTTGTTTGAATTTCTGATTGAGAAACTCTCTGGTACATCACCTAGCGAACCAGTTAAAGCAATGGACAATTCTGGTGTAATACTGGTGGCCGGAGCTACTGGCGGTGTCGGCAGAAGAGTGGTGGATCTCTTACGCAAAAACGGGCGATCCGTTCGAGTATTGGTACTTTTTTATATACAAAAATTCCTTTTATTCTCTTTGATGATATATAGATATTCTAAGTAGAGATACATAATCTTGAAACTAATGTCGTTCCAGGTCAGAAATGAAGAGAAAGCAAAACGAATGCTTGGTCCAGATGTTGACTTGGTGAGTTCTCTGCTTATATAATTTGACTTTAAAACGGTTTTGGTTCTTACATTTTCCAAGAACCGTACGAGTATGAATTCGGCTAGTTAAAAAATAACCGATTTATGATCTTGAACTTGTCAGATTGTAGGAGATATTACAAAGGCAAGCACATTGTTACCAGAGTATTTTAAAGGAGTAAGAATGGTGATAAATGCCGTTTCGGTGATTGTCGGGCCAAAGGAAGGCGATACTCCAGATAGAGCCAAATATAGCCAGGTATTTTTGTAAGGTTATAATCGAATGGGATTAAATGTCGTAATTAGATGCTCTTATGCGATTATAGTAACATAAATAACTCGTTAATGAATCTGTGTTGGCTAACTTCTAATCGCCGACCATTTGTTTTTCCACAGGGAATCAAGTTCTTCGAACCTGAGGTTGGTAATTGATTTCAGAAAAAATAATCTCAATTTTTTTTACATTAAGAGACTCATATAACAGTTTTCTACTTTAACCGTTTATTCGGTTTGTGAGAGTAGATTAAAGGTGATTCTCCTGAAATGGTGGAATTCATCGGGATGAAGAATTTGATCAATGCTGTTAAGGAAACAGTTGGACTTCGTAGCGGAAAATTGATATTTGGATTTGACGGTAATCTGTCGAATTATGTTTCTAAAAAAAGGCTGTCAGATTATTACATTTTACACCATAAAGGTATTCGACTTTGACGATGAACAAATCTTGTAA